CTAAAAATAAGGTAATCCTTTGAGTTTTCTGTTCATGTGAATTTTACCACTTAATTGCTCATCCTATTACTCTTCCCACAGAGAATAACCATAGTTCTGAAAACGTATATGTATTGCAAAGCGCATGGAAGTGTTATCAGTTAATAAGTACACTGGTTGAAAACAGGATTTATCCAAGTATTTCTTATAGCTTGTAAATCTCTAGTGTTAATTGGATTGAATTAATCGGCAACTATTGGTGACAACATGAAAACTATACTACGCCTATTGTACAACGACTGGATATCGTAACTCAGTGACCAAGTGAATAGCAATTTCGTGTTTCAAGTGGTTGGTCCTTGGCTCGAGTCCTAGTTAAAACAATTTCACTTTCTGAGAGGCACTTACACCTTGCTGGTGAGTCCTAGGCGGGACGAAACATGCGTCTTGCATTCCGCTGCTAGCAAGTATCAATATTTCCGTAAATTTTTGATATAATGAAAAGTATAATAATTGTTCGTTAGCTCTCAGATGAGATTACTGGTTGTATACCTGAAATAGTCGCATGAAGTAGATTGTATGTGTGAACAGCGCATAAATCCCTTCATTTGAGTATACAGTTCTTCTTATCTGTGTAAGTAGGCAACGTTTCCCCACATAGTATGTGTGAGATCCTAGCAACTAGTGAGTGAAGACCATGTGTGATACTGACTAAGATAAACCATTTGGATCAGGTGCAGGTAACCAGTATCTTCACCTAAATCATCAAACTCTAATTAATCTGTGTTAAGACATAGTGAAATATTATTATTTACTGAATTACGTTTTAGATACCATTTATTGTCCATATTCACATCAGGTAACTTCATAACTTTGAGATATGCTTTATATGGTTCTCATTCTACATTTTTCTTTGTTATAAGGGTAATAGAATTCCACATATATCCCGGACAGATGCAAATATAGTACTATTGCGTTTGTTTAGTGTTGATTCGATAAGCGAAGATTCGATTATGTCAGCATCTCCCTCCACCAAACTAGGTTAATTTTTAACACTGTTGCGTTGTCCTGCCCTATTGTGGTTGTGTCCAACCGTATGCCTGTTGTAGCATGCTTAGATGAAAGTTTAAACACTAGTGTGTATATAAAACCATAATTATCAAATCGTTCCGATCATGGTCGAGAATAATAATAGCTTGGATGGATGATCTTGGTTGTATTGTGTTCTGTGAGTTGGGTTGTTTAATCATAGAACCGTCATCATCTTTCTGGACAACATCATCAGCACTAACTTCAGTATGAAGTGAGCTTTCGATATCTCTCCATCAGTGATTTAGTAGCTTGTCCTGACGAACTGGTTTGTGATTGGTTGTTTCCTTTGATTGTTGGGTCATTGACAGACTTTACAGATTTTCCTGTTCGCTGTTCTTCTGCTTCACCTCTGAGTTTTCTATCGTTAATCATTTTTCTCATTGGTTGATAGATTGAGTCTATGTCTATACATCTATTGATTACTGACTGGCCTGAATGCCACGCTTCCAGGAATTCTCTGATATTCTTTGTGTTTCCTCTCTCCGTTCAAAATTTCTACATCGTCAAAATTGAATTCATGTCCATAGTTGTTTTCCATGCGCATTGAAATGAGTAATGAAACGTTGTGACGTTTAATAGCCAATCGGTGTTCGTGTAAATAAAGACAGATAGGGTGACCATTTTGTCTAATGTAGTGTTGACTACAGTTATTGCAGTTGATTTTGTAAATGATGTTCGGTTTGGCTTCTTTGATTGTTGCATCCTTTGGTCTGCATAATAGTGTTTGGAGGGAATTTGTTGGTTTATGAGCCACACCAATTCCACCCAGGAATCTCAGTAATTTTGTCGTGATTTCTGATATATTCTTTATGCACGGTAGGATGATGCGTCTGTTGATTTCTGTCGATGACAATGTAGAAATTTTGAACGGAGAGAGGAAACACAAAGAATATCAGAGAATTCCTGGAAGCGTGGCATTCAGGCCAGTCAGTAATCAATAGATGTATAGACATAGACTCAATCTATCAACCAATGAGAAAAATGATTAACGATAGAAAACTCAGAGGTGAAGCAGAAGAACAGCGAACAGGAAAATCTGTAAAGTCTGTCAATGACCCAACAATCAAAGGAAACAACCAATCACAAACCAGTTCGTCAGGACAAGCTACTAAATCACTGATGGAGAGATATCGAAAGCTCACTTCATACTGAAGTTAGTGCTGATGATGTTGTCCAGAAAGATGATGACGGTTCTATGATTAAATAACCCAACTCATAGAACACATTACAACCAAGACTCCAAAATATCTCACGTTATGTCAGTTAATGTTGTCTTAGTAACAGGGTCAAAAAAGTTACCAGTAAGACTGAAGATCTAAAACAAGAAATTACATGCATAAAAACACCATAATCATAAATAACCACATTCGAAAATGTATTCATTAGTAATTCCAAGGAGACCAGGCCTACTAGTGGTAACACAGATGTTAATAGTAATGATAATAATTAATGGCAATACTATGAATAGATAATCTTAAACCTCTAGAGTGTTGACGTACAAAGGAATACACCTCGGATAGATTACATAATATTCTCATTAAGACCGGGATTAGAGTCCAGTTTAACTCTAAAAAGGCACTTAGAAATAGGCCTTATAGCTTAGCAGATCCTACTGACTCAGTTAAGTAGGATAGTTTAGTTTACCAAATCCCTTGCAACAATCGTGAGGTTGATAGCGTAATTAGAAGACGATGTAATTGTGCAATACACATTTCGAACAATCTGATCACACATTTACTTGTCAAATCAATACGTATTAAACCGAGGAGTGGGAGGACAAATAAAACAATTAACACAATAGGGGATTAACAATAAGAAAATGAGAACAAATAGTACGAGAAGATGGTTCAGTAAAACGGTCAATTTACTGAAAGCATATATGGATTGGACAATACCTGAATTTTCACAGTTTTTCGCCAATCCAATACAAGAGAGATCTAATAAAATGACTGTTTAACAGGATCTATCTTATTAATACATCATAAAATGGATGAAGACATCAAATTACTGACCAAAACACTTACGGAAATAGATTCCTACTGAAGTTTCTTAAACCGTTGTAGAAGTCAAATAGCATCGTTTCAACTACAAGCGACACAGGCACACATGAAAGTGTCAAAGACAACCAGGATCGGAAACACAGCAAGACAGGCCTTCCTGCATTGATCTGAAATGATGAGTGTGGAGGGAGATCTACTGTACTGCACTGCACTGGACTCAGCATAAAGTGTGAACAATATCCGCATTTTCAACACAAATCCAATTAAGTATGTCAGTGCTTGCTTCTATGTTATGGCTGAGAGACATGGCGCGTTATGAAAAGCATTTCCAACAAACTACAGACATTCATCACATGAACAGCTGCCGCCTACGTTCGCTCACTCGATACTGAAGATGGAGATCAGGTGACCAAAATAATAAGAATAAGCAACAAGAAACTCTGATATAGCATTGAACCAATTAAAAACCTTTCGCCCAACAAATATGAAGAGTAAATTATATTCGGATTGGATTGAACATAGACTGAGAAGATGGTTTGGGGAAATCATTGCCAGGTCAGGCCTGGCTATCGAGTGGAACACGTGTGGGAAATGACGAGTTGGACGTCCTAGTCGAGAGTGGAGATTGTGTAAGAAGAAATGGAAGCTTCTGGTAGTCATGGACCCAGGTTCCAATGATCATAGAAAAGAGAGTGAAATCGAGAAATACTACTGAAGCTGTTTGTTCCACTAGGAACCCAAAGGACAAATAACTAAATAATAATAAGAATACATAGTATGGTAGGACAGAGTGGCAGTCTTTAAAACTAACCTAATGGGATGAAGGGAGAGATTGATAGGTGGATTTTTGTTTATCGAATCAATACCAAATATATACAGTGATAGAAATGATTCTGCACCTATCCTAAACATATAGAAAATTCTACCTTTATCATCATAAATCAGAAGGGGAAATTATGATCGCATAAACTCTGTCTCAAAGTTTTGGAGTTACATTATATGAATATCGACAGCAAATTGTGTCCGAAATGTAACCAAGTGAATAACAGTGTTTTAATGTGTGACACACCTAATATGTAGATTAAAATGGAATTACAAGCAAACATAATGTACATGATGTACCACTGTATTTTCTTTGGTTGGTAAGATTTTTCCAGTGGTGAACTCTGATCACAAATTTCATTCAGTAGTTAGATATTTAACTAACAAGCATAAAAACCAACTACAGGTTTCTTTCACCGATTACCTTTATTTCTTTAAATCAGCAACTACACTAAGAATACCATGTTAAGAGTGAGAAAGAGTATAATAACGTGAATTATGCATGTAAATGACATTCATCGTGGACTGACATTAGCTGAAGGAATGTTGGAAACCTGGAAGCACTGGTGTGGGACCCACCTTACTAGGGATCAAATCCACCACCTTCAGGTTTCGCGGTCAGCACATTACCAATGAGTCAGTGGGTTGGAATCCTATAATTCATAATTCCTACTTCTGTTATTTCACGATACAGCGTGATCTCCATCCAATGTCGTTGTTGAGTAACTGTCATCATGTTCTTCTAATTAATGTCAATCTATGATGAATACCAACCTGAAATTAATAAATCCCCACAAACCACAAAATTGAAGTTATCTACTGCTCATTGGTGACTAGCTTCTAGAGTTCCAGTGAGAAGTCATGACCTCTGGGGTCAACCAAGTCGAACATGAGGGCAGTTGCTCAACGAAAGCATTGGATGGAGGTCACGCTATATCGTGAACTGACAGAAGTAAGAAATATGCGCCACTGAATTTCGATCCAGTGGCTCAATGGTAGTGTGCTGGCCATTGAACATGAAGGTCATGTGTTCAATCTCTAGCGGGGTAGAGTCGTGGGCGTGCACATAATTAAAATTTTTATTTTAAACAGTGAATAATTAATTACCAGTTTATCAATTGAATTTTGAATATCATTAGCGTATTCTGAAGACCGTATTCCCTGATTGTTTTGCAGCTGTATTTCATGTATTAGGCTAGAATTTATGCTTTTCTTATGTGATGGAGAAGAGATATTGAGCTTTTTCGCTGTTCCATTGTCTGTCAATTGATCAACATCATTGTATAAGCCATTTTTCAAGGTTTATCTACATTACTGTTAATAATATCTGATTTAGAGTCCCAATTCATTCCTTTTAAATTATTACTGTATGCTGTTTCTTTAATAAGTACACTCGATGGATCTTGGACAAGAGATGAGTTGTTTCCTTTGTTTCTGGAGTTTAAACAGTAACCATTAGCAGATATATTCACATCACAGCCATTTCCATTCTAAAGAAATCAAACATTGAATAAATGAGTCACATACCCAACAGCATGAACATCTTAAGTGACTGATTAGTGTAACAAATGAATAAAGATGAGCAAAGTATACTAATGAAAATGGTATCCTGAGACGTCGGCTAACAGGATTATTATATTAAATCGTTTTATTAACATTGTACGGATACTGCACTCCACCTAAGATGGTGAGATTATTATTATTATTATTTGTCCCTTGGGTTCCTAATGGAACATGGAGCTTCAGTAGCACATCTCCAGTGAACTCTCTTCTCTGAAATCTTTCGAACCTGGTTCCACGACTGCCCACAAGCTCTTATTTCTTCCTCACATGATCTCCTCCATGTCACCCCCGCCTCGGACACCCAACTCGTCGCTTCCTATCTCGGTTTCACTCAACGGCCTGGCCTGATGCGTGATGTCCCCAGTTGGCCTTCTCAGTGTATGCCCAATCCATCTACACTTCCTTCTGCATATTTGTTCAGCAATAGCTTCTTGCTTCGTTGGTTCGTTGCCAGCCAGCCACAGTTCCTTGTTGCATATTCTTATTATTCTGGCCATCTGAGCTTCAGTAACGAGTCAGTGTAGACAGTTGTTGATGAATGTCTGTAGCTTGTTGGAAATCCCTTTCGTAACGCGCCAAGTCTCTGAACCATCACGCAGAAGCACTGACTTGACTGAATTGCTGTTGAAAATATTCAGATCTTGTACTTTGTGCTGAGTGCAGATCTCCGTACTGGTTTCAGGCTAATGAACACCTGTCTTGCTTTTCCGATTCTAACTTTGACATCCTCGTCTGTGCCACCTGTAGTTGAAACAGTACTGCCTAGATAGGTGAGAGAGGCTACTTCTTTTAAGTTTCTCCCATTGATGGTGGTGGTGGTGGTGTTTGGTTGGGTATCTTCATCGCCTCAAGATGGTGAGAATACAGAAGTCATAAGATTTAGTGGTAAAAATTATATCCAAGCAGATCAATAACCTAGAAAGCATCAATTTGTTGACTTTTCCACCCCCCACCTCTAGTGGTGTAATTCAAATCTACACGACTTCTGAAATTTCTGAAGTTGACATACCTCCTGGATACAGATACAACCTAGTGAATTTATGGGACAAGTGTGACGTATACAGGACTAGCTGAGATTGGTGAATTTCATTTCACTTCTGCCCATTAAAACCTGGACCCAGTATCCATAGCTTCTAACGCAAAAACGGTATCCACTAGACCACTGAGGCACGACAGCCGTCTCTTGTGCAACGAGTATCAGTTACTGTACACTGATACTTACAGTTTCCGGCTGTTATACTGCATCAAACTGCTTGACCTTTGTCTGCATATAGGTTCCTATCTGGATGCCTTGATACTACCTTAATACTCACGATGTTGTAGTTAACTTAGTGGCTAGCAATCGAGACTAGGGCAGGCGTCTCTTCCTATTTGGGACGATAAATAGCAACTGATACCCGTTTCACAAGAGGTGACTCTCGTAACCCAGTGGCAAAACAACCTACACTTCTCTATATGGCAAAAACAATGGCCTGAGACTTCATAGGATGATATCACATGACATCATAACTCATTGCTTTCTTTTAACCTAATTTAACTCCGAATACCATCATTTGTCGAACTAAAACGTCACTCAAAATGTGTAACACGTGGCTAAACTAAGTCAGTTAACCTGCTATTCCTGCCAAGAAATTTGGGCATATTCTCAACACTATTAACTTAAAGGTTCTGCTTCAATAAATTGATACTTCAAAGACACCGATCATCGAAAGCATGTAGCGCTACCATGTCTTCTAGCTTCAACGACGTGAGATTAAGTACTCAACGATGTCATTGGATGAAGACCGCTCTATGTCGCGAATTGATAGTAGTGGGAAAATATGGACCATAGATTCCAACCCAGTGTTTTAATAGTAACTTGCTGGCCACAGAACCCGAAGGTTCAGGGTTCGAACCTTGGAGGTTGGGGTCAAGGGTGAGAACTGCTGAGGAGTCCCATGGCAGGACAAGACAGCTGTCCAGTGCTACCAGGTTTCCAATGGTCCTCCAAATGACATCAATTAGTGACGTAAACCAACCTGACATCAGTAAATTCCTAAAAACCTTTAAATTTAACAGACATGCCTGACAGCTGTGGGATAGGACAAAGTGAAGTGCTATGCATCGAACTGACATTGCTAAAGAGATGAATCTCATTGCTTCCTACTTTCATCACATGAATATTGCTTATAAGGAGTTCTTTTGTCGCTGAACAACGCAAATCACCCATAATTAGCATATGATAAGAGCTAAACTTCAATATGTTACCACAGTTTAAGGATATAACTGACATTTAGGATTTACTTACAAAAGAGTACAGTTCCTGTTTTACTAGTGTACAAAGGTATTACTGGATTCAATCTGACGACAGTAAATTTTTATATAGTAGCAGTGGTTAGCTTAGATATTCAAACTGTTTGGGAAAGTTGTCGATAAACATTCTTATTAATCAGCTAATACGGATAGTAAAATTGTAAGGCCCTAATAAATATGCTAATTTGAAAATGAATGTAGTCAGAACATTGTTCAACAGAGCCAGAAAACGTTGTTCTGACAGCACACCAGACTATCCAGAAAGCTTTATCAACAAGCACACAAAATGAGTATGAAGCAGAACAATATCCCAAACAGTGCAGAAGAAACTAGTCTATATCACCTTGCCATTCAAAGGTGATGACGTGCTAGACTTGTTCTTTTCAGTACCACCAAAAGGATACTGCAACAATCAGGGATCCTATACTCGACACATCTAAATGCATATATATCAATTCTAATGTACCTGCAGAAGCAAATACATTAGTCGTACAGAGAGGTGTCTGTCTACACAAATGGTTGAGCATCTACCCAAATAGTTGAAAGATGCCGAGAAGAAGACTTCGAGGAGCTCGATAACAAAACACCTAATGGATTATGGGAATGATACTGTATACAAGCAATAACACTAAAACTATACCCATCGCACAAGAAGTGGCTATCGTGGCTCGGTGGTTTAGCAGATAACGCTTTGGCGTTCGAATCCCAGTGGGGACAACATCACCCACTGGAAGGCGGGCACACCCAGCCAACGAACCCTAGATGGGACGATACGCATCTCTGGGACCCCACTACTTACTGCTATCCCACATTAATATTAAGTTTCTTTTTTTGAATGACGTGATCCACGCTCAATCGATTCAATTCTCAGCCCCGTGTCAACATTATTATTATCATTATTTTTCTACCTGAAATCCACTATTATCCAAACTCATAGTTAATCATGTAACCTTTCCCCAGCCCACTCAATTTGGAACACCCATTTCTACCTCTTGCATTGCCACTTGACCTGTAAAAACTGTTCATCTCTATGTTAATACACCTAAATCTATGTCTCAGTCTACGTTGTATATACTGGGTGTGATCGAAGGTGAAATAAAAATTTGGACCGTGGCCGGATTCGAACCAGCTACGAGCGGACTTCCAACCTCACGCTCTACCAACTGAGCTTCGAGGTAGAGCAGTTGGTAGAGCGTGCGACCGGAAGTCCGGTGGTCGCTAGTTCGAACCCGACCACGGTCCAAATTTTCATTTCACCTTCAATCATCACCCGATATAAATACTAGTCTGCCAAACTACGGCTATCTCAGATAGTTAGAATGATACGTTATATATGTATTTATGTATGTAGTTTGTATGTTCTTTTGCATTGTAGAGTATCCAGCTGACGAGTATTACTGAAATTTATGAATTCATTAAGTCCTGCTTTTTTTCATATTCGTTACTTGTTTTATATCAATATATGTTTATTGCCACAAGCCTCATTTCTGCTCGTTGTATAGTAAAAGACTGAAATCGAGTTAATGACGGTACAATAATGTTTTTTACATACATAGAAATACTGATTGTCGCCTCATCTTATACCGAATACTTAACTTATAAATAAATTTACTTTAAGGTTTATGGGTCAATGCATACTGCTGACAAGTTCCGTACTGAAGTTGAATGAAAGCTGTATGGCTGATATAGAACTGAAACCTAGTTTTTAGTTGGGCTACATCCTTAACCTGGCAGAGGTATGAAGTTATAGTTATCATCCATGTATAGATTTAAAAAAAACTGTGACTAAAAAGTACTTACTAGAGGCATTGAATGATTAGAAGATTGTAGGAACAGCTGTTTCAGTTTTGCTTCACTATTTATAACCATCATAGAAGAACTATCTGTTGAACTCTCTGAGTTCCGATCACTTTGATTCTGCTTCAAATCGACTTCAGTAAATGGCAAAATATTATTTGTCAACTTTTTTTCATCCATACTTGATAATACTTCACTTGGATTGTGGTGTGGTGATGTTGTGGAAGGACCGGTAGATCGACATAGATAGCTTACTTTTGCCTAAAATGACAACATAAAATACAAACAGAAAACTATCATCTAGACACCATATAAAATGAATGGTAACTTTCAAATGAAATCTTTTTCATTGCTTTAATAAGCCAATTGAAGAAGCTGAAATAAATCAACACACACTGAAGTTTTTCAAGTTGGTATTTATTATGGACTGACATGAGTTGGTGGAAATTTGGAAACCTAGGAGAGCTGGACAGCTGTTTCATCCTAATATGAGACTCCTTAGCAATGCGCACCCACAACCCCACTCGCCAGGGATCGAACTCAGGAGCTTCGGATTCCGTGGCCAGCATATTACCGTTGAGGCCACTGGCTCGGCAGAATCCAATGGTCCATATTTCCAAATTCTGTCAGTTCACGACATAGAGCGACCATCGCACAGTCATCTTTGAATATTTGTCTTCACGGTCACCAGGTTTTTCCCACCGGTCATAACTTCTCACTGAAACTTCAGGAAACACCTCTTAAAGCAAGTCACTAATGAGCACTCGATCAATTGAATTTGATGGTTTATGGGCTGACTCTTTTTCTGAAATACACATAGTTTTTCTAGGAAACACTAGTATCTCTAAGTGAAGTGCATTCCTTAAAACAAAAAATTCTCCGTCCAGACACCAGAAGCACATTACACATTGAAATGAATGCTGAAAACAAAACAAGTATGAACTAACTAAACAATAAAACAATGCAACTAAACATTGATGTGCATATTTGTATACTAGGCCTTAAATCATGATCCTAATTCAGTTATGGAGGTCAGGCGAAGAGTACTAGGCAAGAAAAACAAATCAGTCAATGAGGTTGTGAAACTTCATCGATTGAGGTGGCTAGAACATATGCTTCGCATGGCAACCCACCATCTACTTCGACATGCATGCTAGCAAAAGTTGAATTAGTTTGTAAGAAAGCCTAAAGTAGTTAGATTAAACACTGCACTGATCTATAAATTCTTTGACGATTGGTCTGAGACGTGTAGAGAGTCGTAGACTACCTGACAGAGGCATTCGAGATCACAGAAATTGATGCTTGAAAACTCAAAGTGACATGGCGATTAAAGTTGATTTTGTCTACTTATCTCTCTACTTCAGTTGTCCACAACTAACCAGGCTCATTGGGTTTGAGCCCGTACTACAAAGTTAGATTTGTAAATTTTCTAATATAAGTGTAGAACTTGGCCACTGTGGTAGGATTTAGTTTCATATTATATTTATAACACACAGGGTGATACAGTATTATTTATTTACTTAACGTTCCCAGAATTAATTATTACAGCTCATAATCATATCCATGTAATCAAACTCCTCTCTATATCTGATTTTTATAGTCCTGTCACCCACCTCATGTTCTTTGCTTCTACTGGTAGTGAAATTTTCCATATCTCTGGTATATGTATCGCATCATTCCCATTACATGTGTTAGGTTGGGTGTTGACTCGATGAACAAAGATCCAGTAACCAATATCTCTCTCCACTAAATTTCATTGGACTTAAGCACAGTGACTACCCTATAAAGAAGGTATATCACAAACTTTATACAGGATCCTCAACAAAGCTGGAATTAAGGTGGCATTTAAACCTAAAAACTTATTCAAAGATAAGCTTTGTCGACTGGCTTAAGGATCCGATAGAATCAATTGAGCAAAATCATCTAATCCATCAAATTCCATGTAATGGCTGCAAGATCAAGTACATAGGTGTAACTAGCCGGTCAGGGTCAGTTAGAATAGCCAAACATACGAATTTACCTAAATATAGAACGACAGACCCAAATAAGATCGGTAATCTAGTAAAACACATAACCACACAATAGGGTGGGATAGAACCACTGTACTTTGCTGTCTAATATAATTAGGTGGAGAGAGATAATGGTTACTGGATCTTCGCTCATCGAATCGACACCCAACCGAACAAGTGTAATAGGAATGACGTAACACATGTACCAGAGATATGGAAAATTTTACTACCAATAAAAACAAAGAATATGAGCTGGGTGACAGTGTACTGGACGTTGCTGATAAGAATGGATATAAGTAGTATATGTTGAGAGGGTGGCAGAAATCATAAAGAATTACTAGAAATCGATAAGGATTCCGCCAACAAAAACATAAGAGATAAGGCAGGCGTACGGAGAACAAATCAAGGTAGAAGCAGAAGAGGAAATGAAGCATATTTTGTGAATGACGGTTTTAGTGCAAGGTGAAACAGATTTAATGACTACTGTCCCACTTGTTGACAGTGCACATTCCTTCCTGCATACTTGTCTTATGCTCCCTTCAACCATAGAAATTAGATACTGAAAGTAGTGAGATTGCACCGAAATGATCATGAGCTGCAATAATTTATGCTCAAAACGTCATCCAGTAATGATACTCTGTTACTGTGCGTTACAAATCAAATAAACAAATCTAACATGCAATTGTAAATTATTAGACTGAGGTTCCTGAACATCAAAACGCAGTTTATGACACATCATATGATATGAAGAAAACGATGAAACTAATCTCGTGAATTCATTCCCCTTCTACTGCATGTGATGTTGTTCCATCTTTGTCGCTGCAAGGTCTACTGTTGTTTAGTTCTCTCATTCGTTTCATTTTTTTTATTTCAACTTCGTTCATCGGTTCAATCAACGACTGTATAATGCAAGCAATAACACTCAAATTATATTCGTCACACAAGATGTGGCTATCGTGGCTCGATAGTCTAGAGGATAACGCTCTGGCGTTTGAAGCGACCACTCCCGAGTCTGAATCCCGGTGGGAACAACAACACTCACCGAGAAGCAGGCACATCCAACTGACGAGTCCCAGATAGGACGAAATGTGCATCCTGGATTCCACTGCTAGACACTATCCATCATTCTATCTATTTTAATTACCTGTGACACATTTTCAACGTTAGACAAAATTAGTGACACAAAATTAACGTACAGGCTCGCACATAAGTGAATCGCTTTAAGTTGCTATAATTCACAGTAGTATACAAAGAACAAGCCGACAGAAGAAGATTGACATCATAGTAAACAAAGGTGTATGAGAGAAGAAGGGATTTAAAAATAAAGGTTGTCCAAAATACTTAAGATTTAGAAGACCCCAAAAAGTGAACACATCTGCATCATTGTGACCAGGTTTCAGTCATTGCACTAACACTCCTCAACCACTGATTCCTACCTATTTGAAGAGCTCGGCCAGGCCGTGTACACCTCCCTACACAGCTCAAACCAACATTCAGCAACTTTATGCACTGGTGACACTTCTTAGTCTTAGCATCCTGAGCCTTTTTTCAACTTAATCCAACTTCTGCCAGCACTGCACATCAAGATGGGCGGTGACTCGGCATGCACAACACATGTCCAGGTCACGACTGATGTCCTTTCTTGCTTAGTACCCTTCACCTAACCTCCAAATTGTTAACATGGTGATTACACCGTATGTGAGTAATACTAAGAAGACACCTACGGTCAGAAGCCCGTAGTCTCTTCATGCCTTCTACTTTCAACAACCATCACTCACAGGTGCATAAGAGGACATAATAGACTGCAGACCGGTATGATAGTCCTTAGACAGGTAGTTTAATATCTTGTCAGTTGGTGCGACAGATGACATAAGTTAGAAAATGCCAAATAAGCCTTTTGTACCCAGGCTGAGATTTCATCAGCAACCAGCCTTTTCATGTTGATGCAACTCCCCAAATAAGTGAAGTGGCTGACGCTTTCTATCACTGCACTTCCTATCATTAAGCTGGGAGTAGTTGCAGACCAGTCCTGGAGCATCATCTTACACTTAATAAAGAAATTCCACAAAGACCAGTTCTACTATTATTTAAGAATAAAAATACCGTCTCCTATAGAGTGATCATAAACTTTTGTAATCAAATGTATGAAAATACAGTTCACAGAAATCATATCACATAAGGGAAAAGATACTGACAGAAGCATAACAAATGATTGTTACTCACATATTCTCGAATTTTTTGACTCATTATTTCTTCAACTTGTGCCATTCTGTCAAGTGATTCAGATTCTGTATCACTGTCCCATGAGTTAACCTCTTTGTCTTGAATATTGTGGATGGAAAGAAAATCTAATGGATTATTCGCAGATTCTTGGGTTAATAAAAGATTTGATTGATTTTTATTCACTTTAAATGAATCTCCTGGCTCATGAAAGTTTTCCTGTAACAACAACAGGGATAAAAAGAATGATGCAGAAATGAATTACGAGAATTATAACAGATAATAATAATAATAACATCACGAGAAAAGCAGGTACCCACAACATAGGATCTGATGTAGTTCTCTATGGGCGAAAGTTGACGCATTTCACATCATTGGAATGGGAAAGAAAGGATTCAAACCCAGAGTTTCATGTTTACCATATCACTAACTATGATGCTAGTGTTGTTGCTAGTATTATCCCACCGTCCATTATATCAAATTGATCGGTCACTGTTGGTATATGGGCTCCTGGGCGGATACCTCGATACTGCCTGCATTAATTATATATTATTGATGGATAGTGGCTAGTAGGTGAATTCGAAATGCATTTCATTGATCTTGTTCTGGCTGGGAGGCAAGACCATCTAGCTGATGAGTCCCAAACAGGACGAAACGTGCATCCTGGAATACACTGCAAGTCACTATCCATCATTAATAAATATTGATGCTAGTTTAATAAAAGCAACCTCTTCGAGACTGATAGCTACTACCTCTTTGTGGTGGTCTGCTTTGCGCATCACAGTGGCCCAGCAAGTTATGCTGCCAAAACCCTTGATCCTTCGAGGTCCTATTGTATATTATTTTTATTAGTCTATTGAGTGCTAGTGGAACATAAGGCTTCTGTAACACTTCGCCATTTCACTCTCTTCAATGCAGTCTTTCCAACCTCGCTACACTACTACCCACAATCTTTCACTTCTTCATCACACCATCTTCTCCATGTCACCCTTGGCTACGACATCCAACTCATCGTTTCCCATGAAGGTTCCACTCGACGGCCTGGTTTATCCTGGCATGGTCTGACCTGGCGCGTGATGTCACCAAACCGTCTTCTCAGTCCATGTCCAGTTCAATCCAATCCATCTCCACTTCCTTCTGCACATTTGTTGGGTGAAAGGTTCTTGGTTTGTTTGTTGGTTCGTTGCCAGCCAGCCAGCCAACCAGCCAACCAACCAGAGTTCCTCCTTGCTTATTCCTATTATTCTCACCATCTGATCTCCATCTTCAGTGTCACTAGCGAGTGAGCAAGCGTACGCCCCAGCTGTTCATGTCATCAATGTCCATAGTTTGTTGGAAATGCTTTTCATAACTCACCATGTCTCTCAACCATCACATAGAAGCAAGCACTGACTGACTTGATTGAATTCGTTTTGAAAATGCGGATATTGTTCACACTTTATGCTGCGTCCAGTGCAGTGCAGTGCAGTGCAGTGCAAAGCTGTGCAGTAGATCTCCCTCCACACTCATCATTTCAGATCAATGCAGGAAGGCCTATCTCGCTGTGTTTCCGGTCCTGGCTGAATTTGACGTCTTCATCTATGCGTGTGCCGTTTGTGGTTGAAGCGATGCTGCTTATTTAGGTAGGTAGGTATGTAGGTGAAAGAGACAACTTCGTTGAGATTCCTCGTGTTGATGGTGATAGGTGTTTGTTGTTATTGTCGTTGGTTGGATATCTTCATCACCTCTGTCTTCTCTACATTCACCTGAGGTCCTGTATTCGATGCCCCGCCTCGCCTCTTCCGTCAACTTGTTAGTTGTCGCCCGTAGATCTTGGAGTTTGTGCGAGATTCGACACAAATTATCATTGGGGAAATCCGAATTTTCTAGAGTCCAGTTTACGCCCATTTTCTCGCTGTGAGATCTACTATACCACAAAACTCACCTGTATATTGGTCAGATAAAGAACAGCTACCATTATAGTGCGAATTATAGGCTGTGATGAGGTTCCGAAGACAAAGTAATAGTGCTAGATGGATGGCATGTGACAACAGTACATTTTTACTGGGAAGATCGGCAATGGTACGCTGATGCTCCCATCTTTATAGGAGAGCTAGGCTACAAAAGGTCAACTCTAAAAACAGCACACTCTCCTCCCTCGATGCATTCTAGAATCAGTCGTATGGATTTCTTGTTTAGCGTAAGTATGCTCAAATCTCAGCCCAACATTCCTAAAAAGGCTGTTTTTGACTGGCTATAAACTGATTCCATGTAGGCTCTGTGGTCATACACCACTATAACTGATCCAATTTTTTCCTCATGTGCCTCAATACGAAGTAACCCTTCACGATGTGTGGAATATAGAAGTGTCAACAGCTTTCACAATTCTGTCTGCCCTCAAGTTTCCTCAGATCATTATCAACATTCAACACCACCTTCTGTAATCTCTATTCACATCTCTCAGTTAGCTTTCTTATGTCTTCGTTAGTTTTTATAGCCCTACAATTCTCAAGGACATCGGATCACAGAACAGCATCTATGGACTCTTGTTACCATGTTCTAAACTGCACACTGCAGTTTACGATGTCCATATCCTTTACTAAAACAATCAACGAGCTTTATTAGCTAAAAATCTGGTATCTCAGCCCATGGATATGTGCTGTTTTGATGAGATACACATATAGGAATCAAGAGCGGTTGTTTACTTAAGTTCAACTAACCAATATACTAAATCTGCTAAACTCAACCTTTAACTTTTCGGAGATTCGACGGCAAGCCCTCACATACTTACAGGTATAGGTTTAGCATCCAATACTAAAGCAGAAAATGCACTACTCGACTGGATCCCAGCTGATTAAATGGTATACTGAAGATTAAAAAAAACGGATAAACTTGTAGTTGTATCCTTGCAATCTCTGTTTATGCACCCAACATTGAATGCAATTGGGAAGAAGGGAAGAATGAGTTCTAATGAAATCTGTCAAGCCTCCTGCTGAAAGCCAAAAGTTCAGATATGATTTTCTTGCCAAATGACTTCAATCCAAAAACAGGTAGGTCAGGTCAGTCAGAAAGCCATTTAGATAACACTTTTGGAATCGCAGTAGAAGGAAAGGATGACGACGATCGCCTCTTACAACTATGCTCAGAAAACCATTTATTTCTGGTCAGCGCTAACTTGAGATAGACATTGTCTGATGTGATGTTCATCAACCTAAACTCAATGTTGAACACAGATAGATCATATTATTGTCAATTTTTTTTAGGGGAGGGTCAGTGGAAGATTTCCACTTCTTCTGAAACACATGTATGTTCAGTGACCACGTGCTGATTCAGCCACGTAAATGTCTGCGCCTAAATTGACGGCGAAAACTCATAGCAACAAGAATATTATGCGTGCTGCTCGATAATCAGAATATCGAAGAAATTTTTAAAGAGGAACTGGCTAGACTGTTATCGGAACAGAACAATATCAATCATCCGCAAAAAACTTGTCACCATCTTAAGTCTGCTCAAAAACAGCGTTGAAGACTTTAGCCGAATCTCAAACTGCTTAGAAATAATCAGTGGATCTCAGTAGCTTCTGATAAATTAATAAATGCTCAAGAACCCATTTCTGTAGGCTTTATGCCCTATGAGGAGAGAAAGCAATTGAAAAGTATACTAACAGAAAGTCTATTCAATGACAGCTAACAGTGGTCGGCAGCGAAGTCCAGAGATAGAAAAGGCAGAGGCGGTAGATTACAGCGGACAACTGGAGCGAAAAAGTCAACGGTTAGTGAAATAATAGAGAGGAAGGATGAGTTTGTGATCTACTCACAAAAGAGATGATTGGAACGATGAGTAAAATACATCGAAAAAGCAGTTCAACTGAACTCCACTTACTATCCTATTTCTCACTAGCTAGTCGTATCCTGAATCGAACACTGAGGATACGACTCCCACGTCTTGATAAATCTGGAAATAACCTAAAACGAAGGTCAGCAGGTCCAACTAGAATAGTACCGTAGGCTTTAAAGGACCGTGGTTGCGGACTATTGGCCAAATTAACTAAATTGTTAGCTACTTTTCGGCAGTCAGATACTACCCTCTATTACTAGCCTAAATCAATGATTGTCCTAGAAAGACAAGAAATTCTCCTGGATGACCGCATGGAAATCAGCCAGACGAACATAGTGTACAAGAGTCTAGGTTATATAATCATTAGACGTCTAAATGAATCTTAAGAACAAAAAACCTGAGAAAACCAGGTAGGCTTCAAACCTAGCCGCGAATGTATCGACGAGATATTCACCCTTCACCCCGTCTTAGAACACTGGCACACTTGCGGACGCTGGACACTGTCATTCAACTCCACTGGTCAAGAGGTTTCATATTAGTGTCTCTTACTGAAAGAGGTGCAAAGTATGTGCATCATCTCTTGGAAGACTTTGTTTTTGAATACAAATGGGGATGATATAGTCTGTGTTGAGTTATTAGGTAAACTGTGAATGCAGGGTGGTATCTGTTTAAGATATTCACTTTCCATTCTTATCATTCATCATAGACATCCTGATGGAGGTCTCCCTCTACTCATCTGACTTAATGTGGATCAGTCTTACAACACAACACTTATTGGTAGACCCGCAGTATGCGGATGAAATAGTCCTGTTAGATTATCTTTACAAGACGCGAAGCCTTCCAAACACATTATGTGGCAATTTGAAAATGCCTGAAATGCGTTTCTGACCACTCAAATGCAAACTGTTGCTCTAGGACTGGTCTTCAGTGGTGCCATTTTTTAACGTTACGAATGAAAAGGTTAAATGCGTTAAACAATTCGCTCACATGAGAAAACTGATCATCCCAAGTGGGTGAGTCAGTGATCAACAGAATCTCGATACCAGAATGAAAAGCTCGGTTGTCTTTCATCGACCTACACCATTTATGACCTCACTGTGGTATCCCATAGTCTATTAAAGGTCAAATGTACTGCGCTGCAGTTCTCTGTGTTCTTCTATCTGGTAGTAAAACATGGCTATTAAAGGCAGAGGATGTGAAAAGGCTTTAGGTGTTTGACTAGCGTTGCCCTTGTAGCATAGGCTGTGCGTCGTGCTGTCACCGCATCAGTAGTTTAGAAGTCAGTTGTTGAATTTTAGGAAGGAGAAGGTTATTTGGTAAGGTTGTGAACCTTCATTGACTCAGGTGGCTGAGACATACGTGAATCATGCCTAGTCACCATCTGCCATGTAGCACAATGTTGGCTCAAGTAGGTTCAGGCTAAAAGAAGGTTAAAGACAGCCAGATGGAAACATCATTTCATGAAGTATTTGACTGTTTATCTGGGTCGTGTAGGGAAATGTAGACTTCCTATTTGATATCCACGTGAAACCACAGAAACCAGCGACTGGATACTCTAGGTAACATACCTAAGAATCTATGTCGGTGGAGCAAATATATCCACATATTTCTATCTTATCGCCATACTGAATTCAATGTTTACTCCTTCCTTCTTTCACTTTCTAATACTTTCTATCACTTTTGACTGTCTTCTTTTTTATTTCTTTGTCTTTCCTCTTGTTTCTTTTTTACTTGATGTGCTGAAATGATGTAGGGTAACTTGGAACATCATGAAGAAATGGTAGTTAGTGTGTGGATTTTGTCTCTCTGGCCTTCTGATCATCTATCCATCCATTCAAATCAACATAGGACCAGGCATTACTGCTTAACGGTCCAAGTTGCCACGCCTCATATCACTACATCAAGTAAAAAACAGTAAAGTGGAAGATGAAGGAAAGAAAATTCAGCCAAAAGAAATATAAAGTAATAAAAGAGAGGAAAAAAGAATGAGGAAATGGTGAGATCCGGTATAGCTTTAAGATGAGGATAATGTGTGTATACGTCTGCGCCACTGAAATCGGTTCTCAGCCATATCACCTCGAGTCTCCACCTTCTCGTCACCAAGTAAATGATTTCTTAAATTTTCATGACTTTTCTAGAAGAGAGTACAGCTTCTTAAGTTTGTAGATTGCAAAGTGGATAATTCACATCGTTAATTGATCTACAGAAAGCCTACGTGGGACGAACAGTTTGTTTATTTTCAAAGTTCAGTCCCTCTACTTAGGAAGAGGAATTTTATCCGTTCACTTTCCTTGGGGATCAGCAACATATGTAATGAGGACACTCGTAACGGAGAACTGTAAATACTTCGATGAACTCTAGGGGATACGGTAAACAGAACATACTTCGCCGCCAAACTTCCGATTATTTTCTCCTGCAAGAAACGTTTTAGTCAATGTGAGGATGACAGACCGATGCATTGGGTCACATCAGTGTGTGTCTACCAGTTTACTTGCTCTTGTGGAGCTGAGCACATCATGCGACCCCTTATAAAACGTGCCCACAAACACTATGCAGATTGCCTGGCAAAGGGAGGATGGAAATATATCTTCAGTTAAATAACAGAACACCTCGTGAACTCAGGCAAGTTAGCTCCTTTTGAAAGCTCATTCAAAATTCTCTACAGGATTCAGTCAAACCACTCGAAGGGAGTAAGATCAAGGCATTTGTTTATAGATGATGCACTAGCTACCTAGAAGTTCAAAGCAGCGTTATGCATCCGAAAAAGGTACGTGCAACCTTTATCTTTGCCTTGACCATCATAAAGCCTTTACTGTCATAGACTTATCCTATGTTAGGTAACTATACATATACTTCCATAATCCGCTGTTTATTTTCCTACTTTCATAAGTTTATCCTTGATTACATAATTACAATTTTATTTTCATAACCCTTCGTCCATTTTCCTACTCTATCACAGTTTTATCCTGTATTACATCTAATTACATTTAATTTCATAACCCCATGTGCATTTTCCCACTCTAAACCCAAATGTGTATTCATTAACTTCCTTTAGTTATTAAGTATATTTTGTCTCCTAACTGGAAATAATTCTGGAACGTTTACCCTCTGTAGCATATTCACGAATGTACAGCTTAGTAGTAAATGACTTCGTCGAAGAGAAAGGTTTTTCTTCACTGCAACCACGTCTTGTCTTTTCCGATGATCAAATGGGTGAATTCCAAATTCAAGAAAACTCTCGTTAGCAACTTCTTGTAGGTCAGTGGAGTACGTGTTTCGTCTTCTTTGGGACTCATCAGTTGAGTGTACCTGTCCCCCTCACTGTCCGATGTTATTCCAACCAAAACTCGAACCTAGGATCAATTGCTTGATGCGCGAAAACATCATCTACCTGTTAACTGATTCATCCTAGCCACTATCGACCAATAATATCAAAACTAGCAATATCGCAACATTCAAATAGGAGCCAATTTCCCAATAGTGATCGGCAATCTGGTCCAACAAATGATGGATATCTATAAGTCATAATATCAAAAGTGAATGACCTTCTGCTTGACTGAGGATCAACCATTTAAACTTATTTCATTCAAAACTCACTTGTTTTTGGTCTTTTATGTGATCGGATGTAATACAATTAGATTGCATTGTTTCAGAAGAAAATTCCACAGGTATAACTGTATCAGTTCCCAGTATTATTGAATTTTTCTTAGGAAATCTTATTGATGAGGGTGTATTAAGTGTAGTTGAAGTGATTTTTGGTAAATCAAATGTTTGAATTTCACTTTGTGTGTTCATATTAACATCAGATGAAAGCACTGAGAACACTTTTGATAATGGATCTATAGTAATAAATTAATGATATGAAAAATGTCAAGTGTAATTAATTTTTTTTATATTTTCTTGGTTAATGATAGTTACTTGTAATGTTTAATGAGTAAATAATACTAAATGGTTGGATTCAAAGATAATCAAAGAGAATATAATGAGAGTGTAGAAGCTCTAGTCTAGTCAAATCATTGAGTAATTACCATTTCACTTAGGTAAATCAAATCTACTAATCAGCAAACTTTTTTCATTATGAACTCAAGTCTATGTTGTATGTTTACTGATAATTGTAATTTAATGTTGGTAGATTGGCGTCCTATGGGAATATCTAGATACTGTAAGATATTCATGATTATTATTATCATTATTTTTCCCATGGGTTCCTAGTGGGACATAGGGTTTCAGTAGCAGGCTTGACTGCACTCTCTTCTCTGTAGTTTTTTGGACCTGGCACACGACTGCCCACAACCTTTCATTTCTTTCTCATATGATCTCCTCCATGTCACTCTCAGCTGGGACGCCAACTTGTCGTTTCCCCTTCGGATTCTACTCGAGGGCTGGCCTGACGAGTGATGTCTCCAGTCGGTCTTCTCAGTGTATGCCCAATCCATCTACACTTTCTTCTACATATTTGTTGAGTGATAGGTTCTTGCTTTGTTGGTTTTTTGCCGGCCAGCCAGAGTTCCTTGTTGCTTAGTCCTACTGTTATGGCCATCTGATCTTCAGTATCGAGCCAGTGTAGGTGGCAGCTGTTGATGAATGTCTGTGATTTGATGGAAATGCTTTACGTGACACAACAAGTTTCTGAGCCATGCAGAAGCACTGACTTGACTGAATTGGTGTAGAAAAACCGGATCTTGTTCACGCTTGTGCTGAGTGCAGTAGATCTCCACACTGATTATTTCAGATTAGTGAAAGCCTGTCTTCCTTTTCCGATCCTGATTTTGACATCCTCGTCTGTGCAGCCACCCGTAGTTGAAACGACGCTGCCTAGGCAGGCGAAGGTGAAAGAGAGTACTTCGTTTAGGTTTCTCCCGTTAATGGCCATTCGTACCTCTTGTTGTTGATCCTGTTGTTGGTTGGATATCTTCATCACCTTCGTCTTCTCTGCATTCACTTGAAGTCACGTTTTCGCTGTCCTGCTTCTTCTGTCAACTTGTTAGTTTTCGTTTGTAGATCTTCGAGTTCGTGATAAAGGACATTAGGCATAAATCATCATGGTTAGAGAAATGCAAGTCTTCTAGTTTCTTTTAATCAGTCCAGCGTATACCTATCTTCTCACTCCTCACAGTTTGTTGCATAATCCAGTCCACCACAACCAGGAAGATCATCGGTAATAGTAGGCAGCCTTATCTTACTCCTGTCTTTACTTCAGAGGCAGATATTCACGATGCTGTACTCAATTCGGTGACTAGTAGCAGAATTCGAGACGTATGTTTCATACTTTCCAGGTCTCATCAACTGCACCTACTTGGAATGAGACCCATCGCTTCAAATGACGCAGAGTAATCCGATAGGTTACTAGGGCACGACAGCCACCACTTTTCCAACGAGTATGAGTTGTTATTTACTAATAGTTTTAATTTTCTGTTCCTGATGCGAATCAGTTGGTAAAATTCCTCTTCACTTGTGTGCTTTGATCTAGTGTGGACTAATGAATTTGACAAGATTGCTAGTAGTATATTTATACAAACGATTCGAAACTTTGAAAAACTAATGTATTTGAAGAGACATATCGGTCTGTCAACTGGCATCATTTGTATGACAGTGGAAGATTAGAAGACTCTAGTCACGTTGAAATTCAGGTGAAAACCTTCAAACATTTTGGATAAATTGATTCGTCAGAATATGCGTACACGTTTTATAGACTTTATAAAGTAGTCTGAATGCTTAAAGTGGCTGATTTAAACCTCAATAAGATTGTGGACATTCCATTCCATTCTACTAAACACTTTTACAGTTTTGCTTAAATGGAGTAAGCAAGCAACCCAGTGATATATGTTCATCAGATTAAAACTCACTCAGCTAAGTAGTATCGTTAGCTTAAGGATAGTAGGTGTCGTTGACAGTCTTGTAAACAACAAGACTTTACTGAGTAAACTACAGTGTTGAATAATGAAACCTGATTATTTCTTAAGATCTCAATTTCTGACAGTATACTGACATGATGATGCTTTTTCATCCAATTCGATTCAAACACGTACAGTTTGTGTTGTAAATGATGAAGGGTAACAGACGACATCAATAAAATAAAATTTCAACAGCTATATGATGATGCCCCATGCCAAGTAATTCACAGCGGAAAGCTCAGTGAAGCCTTTGAAGTGAAGACAGAGGACAGGAGTAAGACATCACGCCCCCTAATATCGCCCACGATCTTTTTGATTGTGGTCGACTGAACTGGATCATGAAACAAACTGTGAGAAGCAAGAAGAGTGTCATACGCTGGATGGACCGATGAAAACACTCTAGAAGATCCGGATTTCACTAATTATAATTTATGTCGAATCTCGCACAAACTCGAAGATCTACAGGCAAAAACCAACAAGCTGGCAGAAGAGGCCAGGCGAGGCAGCAAAGACGAGAATTCAGGTGAATGTAGAGAAGGCAGAGGTGATGAAGATACCCAACCAACAATAACAACAACAAACACCTATCACCATCAACAGGAGAAATCCCAACGAAGTTATCTCTTTCACCTACCTAAAGAGACCCCATGGCTACACCATCACACTGTCTGTAAAAGTCATTGTTAAAGATAAAATTGGCATTCGTTGTGCATCTCAGGCGAAACTCTTTCAAAGTGGAGACGGGAAGTTTAATTTTTATATCATATTTAGACACTTCAAGGTATTTCGTAGAGGAACATTAGTAAAGCGAGATAGGAAATATCAAATGATATCATGAATTTTGTATTTACTCTCAAGTCTTTAATACCTTCAACAAATTTAACAGAAGATTCTTTACATATGACAGTATAAACGAAAATAACTGAGACTTTTTCATCTGATGTTCAATAAGAATGACATCCAAGTCATTAAAAGACATCGAAACCTGCTCAGTTGAAAATCTAGTCATGTTTACACCAGTCTGTTTTTTTGAACAGCGTAAGAACTACTGGTCTTCACTGTGAGATGTCTTTCTTGTCAATATTTACATTTTGTTGATGTACTTGTAATTTTCCGGTGTTTTATTGGGTAGAATTGTTCGACCTCTATTGGCATACGGGCTCCTATGCAGATGCCTCGATATTACCCAATATTTATTATGGTGATTTACTTGGTTGAAGTTAGCAAAAGAAGAGTCCCAAATAGGATGAAACGTGCGTCCTGGACTCTTCTGCTAGCCACAACCAAGTAAATCACCGTAATAAATACTGAAGCAATATCAAGGCATCCGTATAAGAGCCCATATGCCAATAAAGGTAGAAAATTCTATCCAAAAAAAACAATGCAGAATTACACGTACACCAACAAAAAGTTGCTACTAATAAGCGTTGTACAAAAAGTGGCTATCTTGCCTCCGTAGCCTAGTGGGTAACATCTTGGCGTTTAAAGCGATGGGTAAGAGGTTCCAGTCTTAGTAGGAACAACATCGCTTATCATTGGGATACAGATGCATCCAGCTGACAAGTCGCAAATAGAACGAAATATGCGTCCTGAATTCATCTGCTAGTGACAACCAAATGAATTAAAAATACCTTCCTCTCCCAACAGATATACCTTATGTGGTCTTGTTAATAAAATTTACACAACTGGGTAATTTATTTGTCATCGAAATTATAGTACATAACACTGATATATTCACCTCATATCATTAAGAGTTCACTTCACGTGAAATCATGTGTTACACTGACAAATTCATGCAACTATAGTTTTTCATTTTAAGTGATTCATAATTTTTTTTCTTGAATAGATAATAAAAGAGAATAAAAGTGAATAAATATCTCAGTTTAGAAATTATACGAACTCCTTCAGGCATTATGGATCACCTGACATACATATATTTCCAGTTATTGGGTCTATATAGAAAATCAGTTACCTCCAAACATCAGCTATGTACTGGAAATAAATACACCTCTAGTAGAATCTAACTATCTTTTCAGGTGATGGGGATCATATTTACAGAACAATAAACTCAAGCACACCCTTTACATAGAACGGATAGACAAATAGGCTATGCATCTCCAAATATCAACAAAACAGTGAACAATGTTACTTAACTTCCTTAGCTACCAAAGTCTGATCTTAACTTGAAATACTGGTGTTTGAATGACGCGTAAATTATGCCGACTGATAGTCCACAGATCCAAGAACACCAAACAGTGAGCTATTATCATTATTATTTTATTTGTCCCATTGGGTTCCTTGTGGAACATGAGGCTTCAGTAACACTTCGTCATTTCACTCTCTTCAATGCAGTCTTTCCAACCTCGCTACACCACTACCCACAATCTTTCATTTCTTCATCACACCATCTTCTCCATGTCACCCTCGGCTACGACATCCAACTCATCGTTTCCAATGAAGGTTCCACTCGACGGCCTGGTTTATCCTGACATGGTCTGACCTGGCGCGTGATGTCACCAAACCGTCTTCTCAGTCCATGTCCAGTTCAATCCAATCCATCCCACTTCCTTCTGCACATTTGTTGGGTGAAAGGTTCTTGGTTTGTTTGTTGGTTCGTTGCCAGCCAGCCAGCCAACCAGCCAACCAACCAGAGTTCCTCCTTGCTTATTCCTATTATTCTCACCATCTGATCTCCATCTTCAGTGTCACTATCGAGTGAGCAAGCGTACGCCCCAGCTGTTCATGTCATCAATGTCCATAGTTTGTTGGAAATGCTTTTCATAACTCACCATGTCTCTCAACCATCACATAGAAGCAAGCACTGACTGACTTGATTGAATTCGTTTTGAAAATGCGGATATTGTTCACACTTTATGCTGCGTCCAGTGCAGTGCAGTGCAGTGCAGTGCAAAGCTGTGCAGTAGATCTCCCTCCACACTCATCATTTCAGATCAATGCAGGAAGGCCTATCTTGCTGTGTTTCCGGTCCTGGCTGAATTTGACGTCTCATCTATGCGTGTGCCGTTTGTGGTTGAAGCGATGCTGCTTATTTAGGTAGGTAGGTATGTAGGTGAAAGAGACAACTTCGTTGAGATTTCCTCGTGTTGATGGTGATTGGTGCTTGGTGTTGTTAGTTTAGCATAATAAGCTTCTCCTCTAGTTGACGTAGGAAACTGCTTACCCTATAATAATTTCGACTGAAAAGCTGGTGAGACTGAGACCAAGTACCTTAGTGTCAAAGTACTTCTTGCAAATCCTTAAGCTCTAGAGTTGACATAGCAGGAACTTTCGTATTCACACTACTGAGGAGTTGAAATTTGCCGAGAACGTAAAGTGACTTCAGCTTTGATGAGATTCCATTTTGTTTTAGGTGAATAAATAACGATGATGATTAGTTGTTCCACATTTTAAAATCTCTATTGACTGCCTAGACACCCAATTTTATTCAACTGTTGTTCCTAGGAACATAGGAATTATTGGGATTCTGTGTTGATGCACAATTACGTTGTAATAATTATAATAATAGCTTTATTCCAAACAACATGTGTCATACAGTATGGAGTTCCCAGCATTTAATATTTCAACAAATACTCTCCCCGTACAATGTTTTTAATAAAAATAATTACTGCATCTGAATAGTGTTCATAACAATAATAATAGTACTAGAGGCACCAATGTGAAGCGCTTAGTTGGTGTTACATTTACATATGATCTCGACTTGGAGATGAATACAAAATCTAGTATAACTATGCTAGAGGTAGAATTCAATCAAACAGTACAAAAATATGAAATTCGATATATAGGTATCCTAGAAATGGTAACGTTTAGTTAAAATCCCATCGAGAACCAATCTCTCTTTTGAATTTCAGCTAAACATATTTGTCAAAATTCAAAAGTAGTACCTAAAATAACCATTCAAACAACATCGTGTGTTTGTATTGATAATTATTCGACTTCTGTTGGCAGATGGTCTCCTATACGGATGCCTTGATACTACTGGATATTTATGATACTATATTGACCTTGGTGACTAGTAGAGAAATCCTATTTGGAACTCTTCAGATAGATGTACCTTCACCCTACTGAGTGATGTTGTTTCCATTGAGGCTTGAAACCAGTACCTATTAGCTTTAAACGCCAGGTCGTTATCCACTAAGCCTCCTCGGCTAATATTCAAGATCAGTATAGCATCATGAATGTCTGACAGTATCGAGGCATCCGCATAGTAGCCAACTCGGCAACAGAGGTCAAGCAGTTAGACCCTGAATAGTAACGGGATATTACAAGTTTCACTACAACTGATAGGCGTTACACAATGGGAGGCTATTATGCAGCAATGGCTCAGGAATAACTATCTGGTGTTTGAAGCAAAGGATATTGGATTCGAGCTTCACTGCAAATAAAATTACCCACTAGGGTGCAGGCACATCCGGCTGACAAGTCCTAAATAGGACGAAACGCGCGTCCTAGATCCTCTGCTAGTCATCAAGATCAATATTGTGTTTATTTATTTATTTATCTTAAATGAAGGAAATTTATTCTGATTAGCGTGCACAAGCAACTTTAGTTGAAAAACCGCCTTTATCTACTGACATAACGGAATCTAAGATGCTAGAAATCTTTCATGAAAGCTTTGATGTGATCATCTCTTCAACAACAAAGATAACAACAAAAAATCTAAAACTTTTTGCTACCAAGACATGTCTACTTGTTAGTAACTTATACAAAATGAAAAACAAACATTTTTTTTATAAATTACCTGAAAGGTTTATTTGAGGATCAGCAACCACTTGATGCTGAACTGGTTGTTCAGGTAACTGAAAATATTTTGGGTTCTATAATTAGAAGTATAAAGTAATAAAATGGCTAAGTAAGATAAAAAGATGAATGACTTTACAGGTCATCTTAGTAACGACTGAAATAAGCAATTAGGTTCCTCTATTTTCAATGAAAATGTATTTTTATTCAGAAAACGCTAAATTCTAATTGGTTACTTCGACAGATGTCAAGCTGGATGTCTAAAACAAAACAGTAAGTGATATAAGTTTTTTTGTCGATGTAAGCTAAGAAATAAAGCAACGTTATGAAGGGAAGAGAAAAAAAAAGAAAACGCAAATCATCAGACAGATGAAATAATCCCAATGTCACCTAATGCTTCAATTTGTCTTGAATTTGTAACATTAAGTAAGTGTCTGTGCATTGACCCATTTCGCTTGCGTCCATATTATGGTTGAACACCATCCCCATTTCAGGGTGTTATTCATTGTAGACTGACATCAGTTGGAGGAAAAAAAGAAACCTGGGAGCACTGGACAGCTGTTTCGTCCTAGTATGGGACTTCTCAGCAGTGCGCACCCACGACCACACCAGGGATCGAACCCGCTACCTTCAGGTTCCGTGGCCAGCACATTATCATTGAGCCACTGGCTTAGTGGAATTCAACGGTCCATATTTACAACTTCTGTTGGCTCACGATATAGAGCAGCGGCTGTCCAGTGCTTCAAGGTTTCCTCCGTTCCTCTAACTGATGTCAGTCTACAATGAACAACAACTTGAAATCTTTCCAAATCTCCACAACTCCCTAAAAATTCAATTGAACTGGTGCTCATTGGTGACTAGCTTCGAGAGGTATTCCCGAAGTTTTGATGAGAAGTCGTGACCAGTAGGGGCAAAACCTGATGGTCATGAAGAGAATTAAATTATTATTGTGTTTGAATAACTGAAGTAAACAAGCTTATGAATACTTTGTAAGTATCTTATTTGTTGTGAAGAAACGGGGAAATACAAGAACCTTCGTCAACTTTTCTAATCAAACTTAATAGTTTCAGAAAGTGGACTGATTTCATTGTTTACACTTCTTGTATATACAAAATAGATGGACTCAACCTACAACATTCTCAGTTGATAAAATCAGACTGCCAAAATGGAGCGAATCAACTGCAAATTTGTGTATAGCTCACATCATCAATGTATCGTTTTTTAAGAGTGAAATTTCCAAATTTTCGAAGCATTTAACTGATACGATATCAATATTAATATTTGAAACAGGTTGCGACTTAGATAGAAGTAAAACTCGGCCACTGACATAGATCGTTATTCTACTTTTGCATGTTTATCAGAAATGTCAGACAATGAAGAAACAGTATCATTGACTGGATTACATTTCGGACGTAATTTATTGTCCATGTACATGTGAGGTAACTGACTCCACAACTTTGAGAAAGAGTTCATATAGTCTTAATTATATCTCGTTCTTTGTGATGATAAGGGTAGTAGAATTTTTCATATATCTGGAACCGGTACATAATCATTTCTACTACTGCACATATTTCATATGGATTCAAAAAACAAAGATTCAGTAGTGGTCGCTAGTTCGAATCCGGCTGCGGTCAACATTTTCATCTCACCTTCAATCATCACCCAGTATAAAGATTCAGTTATCAATCTCTCCCTCAATCTACCCAACCAAGTTAATTTTTAACAACGTCACTCCAACTCCCACCCTACTGTGTGATTGCGTGTAGGGCTATAGCCGAGATTTTCTTTAAATTTCTCATCTTATTAGTATCTACTAATCTTGATTTAGCTAAGTTTTTGTGCTCTGTTGTTCTAATTGACCCTAACTAGTCGACTACCTTCACCTATGTATTTACCTCGCAATCATTGCAAGAGATTTGATAAACCGAATTATTTTGCTGAATTGCACCGATAGGATCTTTTAACCTATAAAGCTTGCTTGTAAGAGAGTTTGTTGGTTTAAATACCAGCCACTTTAATCCCAGATAGTCTTATTGAGAATCCTTCGTAATGGCTGTGAGGCGCCTTCCTTGAATGGTAACACAGCAAAGGCTTTGAATTCTCTCTCAACTATGTCACCATAATTACTATAAGTAGTAGAATTATTATTAATAACACCCATATTACTACTATTACTACCACTAATATTTTTCTTTCAATTTCTTACGCATTTATTTATAAATTTGGGTGGGTAATTATTAAGATGCAAGGTATTCTCGATATATGTCTAATTTCTTGCCATAGATTTTCTAGTCCGCTAGTAACCTTTTTCGCCCTATCACTTAAGCATTTAACTAAGCCTACTTTAACTAAGATGGGGTAAGAGGATTTGAAGTATATATAACGATCCGAATGGTAAAGTTTCCTATAGACACTAGTCTCTAAACTTATGTTTTCTTTTCATTTAGTCTTACAATCCAACATTGCTAGCTCACCGTCATCACTTTCTGAGTTACTGGTAAATTGGATTGCATTCACTACTGAATTCATGTCCCAAGATCCTATTGATATGTTTCGATTTCAGTACTGTAAACGTATCATCTACATATCGGAAATATATCTTTGAAGAAGGAATAAATGTTTGAATGGCCACGTGTTCCCAACTATCCATAAATATGTCTGTGAAGATAGGGGATATTCGTAATCCCATGGCAACCCCTTCAGTTTATTTATATTATTTTATTTTGAAAATTGAAAACTGTAGATGTTGAGATTTTGAGGGATTTCTTATTGGACCCAGCACCATTGCTAAATGTTTAAACAGCTTGTAAGTTGGAGTGTGGAGGAAGAGATTAATAACTGGATCTTTATTTATCGAATCAATATCTAATACATGCAACATGAATGATTCTGCACCTGTTCCAGATATATGGAAAATTCTACTACCCTTATCATCACAAAGAACGAGATATAATTAAGACTATATGAACTCTTTCTCAAAGTTGTGGAGTCAGTTACCTCACATGTACATGGACAATAAATTACGTCCGAAATGTAATCCAGTCAATGATACTGTTTCTTCATTGTCTGACATTTCTAATAAACGAACTAAAATGGAATGTTGCGACTTACATTTACGATATATTCTTTTTTTCCAGGGATAATCTATAAAATACTTACTAAAAACAGGCGGAACTAACCTTCTTGTCACTATACCATCTTTTAGTAGGTATCCATTTGTCTTCCAACACATAGAGTCAACGTAAAGCCCTCAATCACCTTAAAAATATGAATCTCGCGTAAAACACTGCATGTGTACGTTTGATTCTCATATTCCTTTAAAGAATCCCTCAAATATTCCAATTACAGAAACGCAGCTAGACAAAAACTGCTACATAAATATCAATTCATTTTCTTTTACAACCCATTTTGATAGTATTGTCGCTCATCATGAAAATTAAGTAAACGTTCACTAGTTTGCTTTCTTTTACATTTCTTTCCAGTTTCGTGCCACCAATCACTTGGGTTGACTTATCATCGATTTCGGTTGGACGATAAGTGATACAAGTAGTGGAAGGTATGGGTTAGGAAAAGTCATAAGAAGAGAATTTCTTTCGACATCTATTAAATTACGCTGACGTGGACTAAATGTAATTAAAATAGATAACAACGATGAGCGAATGATGGATAGTGTTTACAGTGGAACCCAGGATGCGCATCTCGTCCTATTTGGGACTTGTCATCTGGATGTACCTGCTTTTCGGTGAATGATATTGCTCCCACCGGGATTCAGACTCGGAAGCGATCGCTTCAAACACCAGAGCATTATCCACTGCACTATCTATATGCCAACAGAGACCGATCAATTCGGTCCAATCAACGACGGTAGGATACAGAAACAATTATACTAAAAACTATACCCATCGCACAACAAGTGGCTATCGTGCCTCGGTGGTGTAATGGATAGCACTCTCACGTTCGAAACGGTCTTTCAGAAGTCCGAATCCCAGTGGGAACAACATCATTTACCAGGAAGTAGGTATATCCAGCTGACGAATCCTAAATAGGACGAAATGTGCATCCTGGATTCCACTGCTAGCCACTGTCCATCATTACTATCATTAGAGTACAGGTAATATTGAGGCATCCGCACAGGAGCTCATATGCCAACAGAGACCGATCAATTCGGTCCAATCAACGACGGTAGGATACAGAAACAATTATACTAAAAACTATACCCATCGCACAACAAGTGGCTATCGTGCCTCGGTGGTGTAATGGATAGCACTCTCGCGTTCGAAACGGTCTTTCAGAAGTCCGAATCCCAGTGGGAACAACATCATTTACCAGGAAGTAGGTATATCCAGCTGACGAATCCTAAATAGGACGAAATGTGCATCCTGGATTCCACTGCTAGCCACTGTCCATCATTACTATCATTAGAGTACAGGTAATATTGAGGCATCCGCACAGGAGCTCATATGCCAATAGAGACCAATCAATTCAGTCCAATCAACGACGGTATGATATAGAAATGATTATACTGTTAGTTTGTATGTTTTAGTAAAGTGTCTATAGAGTATTGTACTTATCTTGACAAGTTTTTTGGATAAGTTTTTTTCAAAAGTGCTCCATAAAAGGAGTCAGCATTAGTTCTTTGAAGCATACTACCTTTCAGATAGGTTATATTGCTTACCTTTGATGACTGTGTAATCGGTTTCAGGGTATCCATACTTCCTAGCGTATTTTCTTCAACAAAATCTTCAGAAATCAAATCAAAAAGAATTACAAGAATAATAACTTGAGGATGGCAAATGATAGATTTGCAATAGAGGTATCTTCTTGTGAGCATGAATTGCACATAACATCATTCATCAGTCTGAAATTAGTTTACATCACGAGCTAATATCAGTTAGAGAATAACAGAAACCCTAAAAGCAGTAGACAATTGTTTCGTCCACCTTTGAGAGTCTTCAACGGTACAAATCCATAGACTGATATTCCACTGTGAAAACTACGTTGAAATTAACCAGTCCCCACAGACCAACATTTGGGTTGCTAGTGATATACTTTGAAGTGGATTTTTCTAAGTTTTAATGACAAGTCTTGACCTATGAGACCTACCAAGTCGAGTGGCATGAGATCATTGTCGCATCATATCACAAGTTTGAAAAAAAAATGAAACTTGGGATTCCAACCCCGTGGCTGAGTGATTATTTGCGCTCCACAACACCTGGTGGTTCATGATTCCACTTTTCAAGAGTTTATGGTTTCACCTTGCTAAGGGGTCCCGAACTAGGATATAGCAGCTATTTAGTAGTCTGATATGTGAGAAAAACTACATTGAAATCCATCAACCCTTACGAAACACTATTCAGAATACAATATTGTTCATTAACATGATTACTGATGACATAACAGTTATTTGAAGTCATTATTACAAAAAAAACGAAGCTCATGAAAAGAAAACTAAATGTATCCAACTTATCAAGCCTAATTTCATAGTTAAAACACTTAAATATGTTAACAAATCATGAGATAGGAAAAGCTGATAACAACTTAAGCCACTTACTGCTTCCTCTTTTTAATATACTCTTCCCGTGAAGATAGCTCCAGTTGCCTTCCAGCAATATCTTACTGTCTAGAGTTAAAACCATGAAAGTATGTTCCTAAACTTTGTAAATAATATTTTCAACCAAAGAACACCTTTTGCTTTGACTACAATTAGTATTTAGTAAAGTATAATCCATGTCATATATTTTTTTCAAAACTCTAGCCTGCGATACAGTACCTTTCATTAACCGGTATATATATATACAATATACAAGTCGTTTTATTCTATTAATTTAAACAGTAATTGTTGAACTCTCATGTTTCAATTGAATGATATACCTGACAGCTTTATTTAGCTTACTTATTGGACAAGAAATCTAACTTATGAACTGTCTGTATATTTTAGTTGGTTATAGGTAATCGGTAGAAGGCCCTGGACCTACGTTTCGTGTTTGTCAGCACTCATCAGGAAGGCGTATCGGTAACCTCGTGGGTACTGATGTCCCCTTTAAGATTCAAAACCGTGTTACCCAGTGTTGTAGCTAGTGACGTTACCACTGAGCTATACAGGTTGTGGCTGATCTCCTGTATAATTGAACTACACACATTGCTTTATCACTGCAGAGCAACAAGTTTCATGTTGTCTAAACCTGAGTGCTGACCACATTTCAAAATGACCGATAGAATGTGGTCAGCACTCAGATTGATTGCTTACAGTGATCAATCAATGTATTGTCTGTATATACCTGTCGTTCATAATGAAAGAATATTTCAGATTGCATGGTTATCATAATACTAAGCATCACAACTGTCTATCAGAGATATAATGAATTTATGAATTGGCTTCATTTCGTAAACATTTGAGAAGTTCCACTTTACAAAAGACAAACATATTGTTAATGATGGATAATGGATAGCAGTGGAATCCATGACACACGTTTCGTCCTGTTCGGGACTCGTCGGCTGGGTGTACCTGCCTCTTAGTGGAAGTGCCAGCAATAGAGAGGCATCCGCATAGTGTCCAATCGATTTGATTCAATCAATTATGGTGATTTACAAGACCAAATATATTATGTTCATAAACATGATATTTTGTTTCCGCAAACTTCACTTATCAACAGGAAAACATTATTCCAGAGGTATTTGTAGGTGTGAAACAATCAAAATTCACTGAATTCTCTCAACTAATTCTGTAATTCATTTATTTATCCTGGTTTTAATTCAGGTTTGTATAATGAAATTCAGTTGTATAGGCTATTACTGAGTGCACAGTGTAAGAGGAACAGGTACTCACCTTGTTCTCAGAAACACGTTAATAAGCATGTGTGTTCTTTGTGTCTGATACTCACTGCAAATGAGGTGGCTCGCGTGCCTCAGTACCCTAGTGGATAATTCTCCAGCATCCCAACCAACTGGTGGTAGGTTGAGTCTCAATGGGAACATCGTTAATCACTGGGAGGTGAGAACATCTGGCTATCGAGCTTCACATAGGACAAAACGCGTATTGTGCATTTCACTCCCAGCTATTATTCATCCTTAAGAGCAAAATTAAAACACTGGCTGTATCGAGGCATTCATACAGGAGCTCATGTGTCGATAAAGGCTCATCAATTCATTCTGAAACAATCAACAGAGGAAAGTAGAAAGTTCCTATAACCTTCCATAGTTTTGATATTATAAGTAGAATGCACATATACAGTTTACCACTGTTCACCTGATTTTAAAACCATAATAGAATATTTACCAGACATTTCCTACCGCTTTCGAACCATACATTTTACCGTCATATAAAACCAGCTATTCATCTTAATGGTCAACATGAGACTTGCAACTGCTGCTAAACCTCATACCAAAGCATGAGGCAACAAGGTGAAAGCTAAAATTGTGGAAGTTGGCGAATTATGCTATTTCATTGGAGGCAGTCAACAGGAAACTCTGCTCCACTTAGCTTACTTGATTGTCGGCACTCGTCAGCAAGTCATATCTGTAACCTTTGTGGAACTGATATCTTTTCCCAGATTCGAACCAGTGTCAATTATTTGGGCTGAGATTAACCTCCTGTAGGACTAGATTGCATATATTGATTAGTCACTGGGAACAACGAATTTTATGTCTAGTCCTGAGGCGCTAACCATATTCTATCAATCATTTTGCAATGCGGTCACCAAGCTAGGTGGCTAGTTGAAGGAATACCTGCCGAAGGTCTTCACCTAACTAATATCCATTTAAGTTCACCATGATTCAGAGCTTCCTCGCTGAATGGCCACATTAAAGAAGCATCAGAAGAACTCGGCAGGCACACAAGAGTACAAAATATGAAGTTGGTTGCCGTCTAGTCACTAATCAATGTTGTATAGCTAAGTGATTATAAAGTAAAAAACCAATACAAACCAACCGTTCACAAACCTTCATGGTTTTGGAAGTAATTAAACTGAGAAGGTAATATATTCATAATAATACCGAGCTTGGTAAATGAACATTTACTAGTCGAAAGACTGTCCAACATTAAGGATGGTTACTGAATAAACTCAACCTGATTTCAATAATCTATTTGCTAGGTAAATAAACTGTTCTAACAGTAAAAAAAAATAGTGTATACAATCAATCTAGAGAGAAGAAGAGATAATTCAACGAAGAAAGTTCTTTCTTTTTCAACCATATCATTTTCTATAACCCTACAATCATACAATTGTAGGAAATGACAAGACTGAGATGAAGGAAAGAATCTTTACTATTGATATCTTGTGCACTAAAACAGTCATTTGTACAATGTGCTTCATTTCATTTTCTCCTTCTGTTTCGATTTCTTCTTAACACACTCACATTGTCTCTTGACTTTATCTGAGCAGAATATTTACCCATTGCTGATAATTGTCTACGATTTATGCCGACCTCTCAACATATACTCCTTATATCCATTCTGATCAACAGTGCTCACTACAGTATTTATATATATCATAAACATATAACACTCTATTATTTAACTATAGTGTATAATTACATTATTAAGCTAGTGCTAAGTAAACCGGAATCAGGAATGGAAAGTAGTTGCGCGATAGTCAATGATTATCACCCATCGATCAACTTCACATCAAAATTTGAAGAGAACTCAGAATTCCATTCTCTCAATGTTTGATTGAAACGGAGACCAGATGGTTGGCTCTCTTCAGAGATTGATTTATAGGAAACCTATATGAAATGAACAATACTTGAATTTTCACAGCTGGGTGCATCTTAGCAGACAAAAGGAGTCTGATCCATTGTTAATCATCTTCAAGGATCGAAAGAGCCTGCACGAGTGATACTGTCGACGATGAATTAGACAAACTATGGAAGATTCTCGTGCAAAACGGAGACCCATCCAGATTTATTGAGAACTTGAATTTAAAAACAGAATACGGAGCAAGTGCTCACAGTTCCAAAGAAGACCTTGTTTTTAGACGGTGGTTTCAAAGGGGATTCGACAGCACAGATCCTGAGGAATCAGCTGTCTAGATCGCTGAAGAAGACATTCCTCTCTGCGAAACCACAGATCAGCTTCTATAGTCAGCAGCTTATTCCGGAGTGCGTTAAGGACAAGTTGCCACTTTGGGTCACCTCACTGTGTGTATCTGTGTGTCCATGGTAAGATAGGAGATTGAACACATTTCTTTTGGACGCAGAGATAAGGTTGGAATTGATGAATTGCCAGTGTTTCCGCGGTGCACAACTGTCGAAAGCGCATTCCTTCTGACCTATTCCATTTGACTCTATAAATGACACTGAAGGAGGATTCTGGTCGAGCTATATGCCCAGAGTTGACCAAATATTCAAGAATTCAACTGTTAATTGATTTACATTCTCTTCTTGACAACCATCCAGATACGTTTGGGATGTGCGCACTTTATGCGGCCTATACAGCTAGCTCCACAGGAGCAAGTGAATTTGTAGACACACAATGAGGTGACCCAAAGTGGCAATTTGTTCTTAACGCACTCCGGAATAAGCTGCTGACTATAGAAGCTGATCTGTAGTTTCACAGAGAAGAATGTCTTCTTCAGCGATCTAGACAGCCGATTCCTCAGGATCTGTGCTATCGAATCCCCTTTGAAACCATCGTTTATAAACAAGGTCTTCTTTGGAACTGTGAGCACTTGATCCGTATTCTGTTTTTAAATTCAAGTTCTCAATAAAGCTGGATGGGTCTCCGTTTTGCACGAGAATCTTCCATAGTTTGTCTAATTCATCGTCGACAGTATCACTCGTGCAGACTCTTTCGATCCTTGAAGATGACTAACAATGGATCAGATTCCTTTTGTCTGCTAAGATGCACCCAGCTGTGAAAATTCAAGTATTGTTCATTTCATATGGGTTTCCTATAAATCAATCTCTGAAGAGAACCAACCATCTGGTCTCCGTTTCAATCAAACATTGAGAGATTGGAATTCTGAGTTCTCTTCAAATTTTGATGTGAAGTTGATCGATGGGTGATAATCATTGATTATCATGCAACTATTTCCATTCCTGATTCCGGTTTACTTAGTACTAGCTTAATAATGTAATTATACACTATAGTTAAATAATAGACTGTTATTTGTTTATGATATATATAAATACTGTCGTGAGCACTGCTGATCAGAATGGATATAAGGAGTATATGTTGAGAGGTCGGCATAAATCGTAGACAATTATCAGCAATGGGTAAATATTTTGCTCAGATAAAGTCAAGAGACAATGTGAGTGTGTTAAGAAGAAATCGAAACAGAAGGAGAAAATGAAATGAAGCACATTGTACAAATGACTGTTTTACTGCACAAGATATCAATAGTAAAGATTCTTTCCTTCATCTCAGTCTTGTCATTTCCTACAATTGTATGATTGTACGGTTTTAGAAAATGATATGGTTGAAAAAGAAAGAACTTTCTTCGCTGAATTATCTCTTCTTCTCTCTAGATTGATTGTATACACTATTTTTTTTTAATTGTTAGAACAGTTTATTTACCTAGCAAATAGATTATTGAAATCAGGTTGAGTTTATTCAGTAACCATCCTTAATGTTGGACAGTCTTTCGACTAGTAAATGTTCATTTACCAAGCTCGGTATTATTAAGAATATATTACGTTTTCTGTGTAGTTTGAGAAAATGATATCGTGGAGAAAGTAAGAATTTTTTTCCGTTGAATTATCTCTCCTTTTTTCTATGACTCAACGTGCATGTTTCGTCGTCTAAAGTCGAACAATCAATCTAGTCTAATCAGTAAAAACTTTGTGATGAGAAGCGTAAATGAAAAATATGTTAAGCACTTACTGTGCGCACAATCATAATAACTTGACGAACTAGTGTGTATTTGGAATACTTTGACTTCACTATACAGAAGAGACGTGGTTTCAGGCTATGCACTGAGTAACGAAATAGATGTGAAAAGCCTATGACAGCCAAAGTATACGGTTGATGGAAACTTTTTTATCATACTTACCCTAATACAGATTATCTAGTAGGACCAAAAACAAAAACTCCTCTATTATACATTCATAAAATATCTCTAAACAAACGATAATCATTTGCCCTTATAGGTGTCTGTAATCATCACTTAACCAAGTGAACAGAAGGCTTGTTTTCTGTGGACAATTAAGACCTCATAACGAATTGATGACATTTATACAGATACTATTGACTTAGTTGCTAAGATGTTAAGAATAAGTTACCTTTCAGTAAGTGACATAGCTATTCAGTTTTAATCATTCAGTATTTTGTTAATTGAACATTGATACAACTAGCCAACCCGATAAATGTCTAAGCACGATGAGGCATACTTAATAACTCCAAGATTAATGGTACCAAATGAATCTAGAACGTATCGCTTATAAATATCTATTGACTGCACTGAGTTGTACATACTTCATTGTTTTAAACTTGGTATTCACCACAGACCTACATCAGTTGGAGAACCATTTGAAACATGAGAGTACTGGACAAGTTCCGCGACTAGCAGGTTAGCATTGAGCTATCAGGTTGAAAACCAACGGTTCCTAGATTTGTCAGTTTGCGATATGATGTGACCTCCATTCAATGTCATCGTTGAGCTCCTGTCCTCACGTCCTACATGGTTTGCCCCACCAGTCATGATTTCTTATTAAAACTTAAGGAATCTCATCTGGAAGGAAGTAGCCAACGAGCACTAGATAGTAGTTTAATTTGGAGGTTTATGGAACAAACCAGTTCGGAGGTGAGGACAATTGTTCAACGACGGTATTGGATGAAGGTGGCGCAATGTCGTGAATATACAGAACTAGAAAAATGTAGACCATTGAACTTCAAACCTGTAGTTTAATGGTAACATGCTTGACGGGAAACCTGAAGATGCTGGATTCGATCCTCAGTGGGTTTGTGGATTCACGTTGCTGAAGAGCCTTATACTGGGACGAAGTCTCCTTCCAATGCTCCAAGGTTTCAGTGGTTCTCCAACTGATGTTAGTCGGCAGTGAAATCAATCAGTAAATCCACACAAACTTCTTAATGGATTAATTCTAAAGTTCTCATTTTCAATTGAATTTTAAAATAAATATATAGCAACGATAAAAAACCAACAGCTTGGAGAAATTTTTAAAAAATAATTTTAGACAAGAAAAATCGTAATTTCTTCAATGAATCTAATTATCTACAATACACTTTGACATAACCATTGTCTTTCTATAATCAAATACGTTAGGTATGCATTATCTTTTTGGTATCCTGTAACTATATGCTCAAGTAAGCTATTTCGAATGATCCCTTATGTATTGGTAACCTGTAGTTTGGTTCACCACATATAGTCAGGCCTTTAAAACTCCTTTCTGGGTGATTTTTTATGCATATGACATGTCCAGCGACCCAACTAGACATTAGAGATGAAGGTGACGAGATATATACTCGGTGGAAATTCGAACCGCGACCGGATTCGAACCAGCGACCACTGGGTTGTCAGCCCGATACTCTACCAACTGAGCAACGAGGCTCGACTGTTGATCAGATTTTTATTTCACCCCAACCAATCACCAAGGCTTTTGCCTGACCACCATGTGAATTCACGACGTGTTACTATCGCTTGATCGTCTACTCTCATTGGCTGCGTAGTCAGAACTCGTCCTAATCCAAATCTGACCGAATTGGAATAAGAGGGGTAGCATCATATTGATTATCATTTTGGCTATCTGAGATGGCCGTATTTTGGTAGACTAGTATCTATACTGGATGATGATTGAAGATAAAATGAAAATTTGGACCGCGAACGGATTCGAACCAGCTACCACTGGGTTGCCGACCCGATACTCTACCAACTGAGCTACGAGGTTCGACTGTTGATCAGACTTTTATTTCATTTCGACCAATCACCAAAGTTTTTGCCCGACTACCATGGGAATTCGTGACGCGTATTTAAATGATAAGAAATTATGAAGACCTCATAACTACTAGAGAACAGACTACTTAAAGTAAATTTAATGCACACAAGAATATGAGACAGAACATGGTAACTGCCCCTTAGCTATGTTACTGTTTAGATGCGCTATAAAGCAAAATACTTAAGTGACAAGACATATGTATGCATCGATGGAATTGAAGAGATTTTGAAGAGAAAGTTATATTTGAACAAATAGCTTACACTCTACTTTCTTAGTGTTAGTAGTATGAACAACAGGATATTACTACTACGATTAGATTATAGACCTTTTATAGAATTTCTCAAGTTTATAAAGATTACCTACCATTGAAAATATTCTTCAGTGATACCTCTTCCTCATGAATATAATTCTGAAGTTTTAACATGGAAGAATTTTTGTTAGAAGTGGTACAGGTAGTTTTCAATTCATCTTTAAATTCATGACTTTCTGAATGATCATCTCCTGAATACAAAGATATATCCAAAATCTGATGACCTGTTCCCTCTTCATTTATAATAGGTTTATAAGCATTGTATAATAGTCTACTTTCACTGGAAGTAGAACTAGGTGGAACTATTGATTTGTCAATGGTCATTTGGTCTGTTTTCTTCATTTCTTTTGTCTTCTCTTCTCCTATCTTACAATCATTGTTAAGCTCTTCAAGGTTCTGAATTAATTGATCAGATCTATGGGAAAATTCATCATTAACGTCACTATATGTTGATGATTGGAATTTATAGTATCATTTTTTGTTTTTTCTGTTATGGATATTATTCGTTGACATTCTATATAACCTTTTTGTAAGGCTAACTCTGATGCCGTATAACCTATAATAGAGAGAAATTTAAAGTTAGACATTTTCTTTAAGTTTACAAGGTTACGTGTACATCATCTCTGTGAATTTTAGTTGGATTAAATCAACCAGAAATAAGAAAAGGTAATCAAAAGTTGTGGGCAATGCAGCTTTCATATAAAAATTGAACGCTTACTGGTTCACTAAAACAAAATGAATGATATCACTACGAAAGAAACTCATTTCAATAAAAGAAAAAAATAAAGTAGATCAGTTATTGGGAAAGAATTTAGATACAGATGAGCTACCCAAACCAATTTGGGTTACTTCAATCACCTATTACGGTTGGTTTCCTCTACTGTGGTTGTCTGGGCCACACACACACACACACATAACTGACAGAGAAAACCCCAAAGTTTTGAGTATCTACTCTTAACTACTTAGCAGGGGTGGAATTTTGTATCCGGCCTGGATTATCTGGCTAATGTCAGCCGTATCTCATACTCAACACTTTAATAATAACAACCCTCCTCCCACCGCTGGGAGGAATTTCAGTCCTCAATACTAGCGTAGTTCACAGACAGCCGACCAGATTCGGCATTCAGTCGGTGAATATGTCAAAAGACTCCATCCCCCAGCCAGAAGGAATGAACCAAACTCCATTGCATGTTATGGAACCACCGCATGAGTAATGTTTAGTTCAGGGGAAGGATACTAGATAAAATAGACAAGTTGATTGATGAGTTTGAGAACCTTCATCAGCTGAGGTGGCTTGCACATGCACTATTCATCCTGAGCCACCGCTTCACCTCAACGTGCTATGCAAGGGAAAGTTGGACTAGATTAGGAGAGAGTTGCAGGTGACCAAACCAAAATCTGGTACCAGTCGATGAAGTTTCTGACTGTCGGTCTAAGTCGTTTTGAGCGACGTAGACTGCCTGGTTGTAGTCCCTGAAACGAAAGGAATCACTTGTTGTGGACTCTTGGTTGCATGCTTGAAAATCGGTTACAGTGGTGCAGTAATATGATGATTATTTCATTACATGAAAAAATACTCATCCCTACGTTTAAAAAATCTGACTTTCAGAATATTAAAGCATACTAAACCTCTGTGATCGAGGTATTATTAACGAAGAAAACACTGAACATTGTTTCAAGGTAAACTGTTTGTGATTCCCGAAGCCTTTTAAAACTATCTACGTACAGAGAAACATTGAAACTCCCTACTGGCATATACAACACATTTGTAAATCAACACTTGAATCCGATAGCCTACAGTTCCAGGCTAACTGAATCTGACACTGATCTCCTTAGTTTTAACATACTTATTAGCTGGTAGTAAACGATCAAGCACTGAACCCATTCTGTAAGTTTTCATGTTACTTTGCGCTGTTTATGTGCAATCCTACTAGCCGATTTGGTTCATATAGTTCAGTCCGTTAGTACGATTTTGCAAATATACGAAATCTATCCAACAATTGGCTTAGCGTCTTCATATTCATTTGCTTTCAGTGAATACAGTGAATCAGTAGTTGATATTTGCATCTATCAAGATCACATTGAGGAAGCCCTGGACCAAGGAATCAGATATTTCTGCACTTATCAGCATAACATATCTGTAATCTTGAGAAAATTAATGTCCGTCACAGATTCAAATGGGCATTAATCTGTACCAGAGTCAGTGATATAATGCGCCACAGTGTTGCATCCCTTAGTTCATTGGCTGAACTTCAAGCATGATTGACAGACTATGATCACTTCTGAACGCTTAGGTAATGGCAGTTACAACAGTTTACAATCGGTGTCCAATTCATGTAAAACTTTATACAAACACAACATGAACAGTAATTACTGTTGTACAATAAAACATCAGATTTTATATGGCAAACAAGTTATGATAGCAAAGTTAATTAAAGAATCTCTTTTATAATTTTTAAAAACATTTTTGTATTCTTATTACTCTACATTCGATGTTCAATGGTGTCCAATACAATATAGATCCATTTTACAATTTCTATGGTGTCATTCTGCTGACTTCCATCTTCTTTATTTCTTACTCGAATACTACCTACATTAAATTGGCAATCATTCGTAATTCTGGAAATCAAATCTGATTGGGTGCATATTTTACCAAGAATGTGAGTGTGGTAAACGTACTTTTTCTCAAGGACATGAACATACATACACATATTCTTTATGTCGTAAGTGGGAATATAATAACTCAGTTCGTTTTTACATCTCAACCTTTGCTTCAAAAATACCTAAAATTATAAAATGTGCTACAGTCCTTTCTTAACTAATAAAAATACCCCTTGAATAGCAAAGTTGGAGAACAAAAGAATTGACTAGTTGCACCATTTACTTAAAACTGTGCTTTGTTTGGAGTTTCATTTATTTGACAGTGTACATTATCATCATATAGATAGATTTCGTACGTAGATGTATGAAAAACTCGATGACAACGAGTGAATCAAATACATTTACGTAGGATTTCAAACAACTAAAGATATATTGATAACATTGATAAAAAGCAATAATCTGAACGAAAAATATTCTTTACAATAAATTCTCTTTAAGTCCTACAATTATAATAAAATGGAGTTGTAAAGCATGGAAACAAGCCACGTTAGAAGTAGGTACATTTTTATAATGGAGTGAGATTTAGGGATTGTAAGGATGATGCATATACAGAAGGATGATATGATGTTGAACAAAAAGATAACGAATAGCGAAGACAAGAGTAACCCTTAGTTTACTGATGGTGAAGGAAGAAGTAACACTTGAATGCAGAGTTCAGGCTTAATCAATCTTATTGTGATAGCCTCCCCTAAGTTGAGCAGGCGTTAGAGGTTTACATGTGGAACACGATGAATGACATTTAAAGCTTTATTATCATCTATGTAATGCCTTGTGTGGATTGGATGCACTAGGTCTGATCTTTTCATTACTTTCACTTCGCCTTTTCCGAACCTTGCTGGTAAATTCTATCGTATCTGCTGACGCTTCTGCCTAATCGAACGCCCTATGTAACTAGTTCCCCAGGAACAGTTAAATTGATATATGCAAAATGAAGAGGTAAAATTAGGTAGGCTGTCCTTTAGTCTCGGACTGAGCATTGGTGGACTTCTGAATGATATACACAGCCAACCTGCACAAGACGTCCTATTGATTGCTCTAGCTAGGCACTGTTATAGAATGTCACCTGCAGCATCTTTCTTGAATTGTAAGTGAAGAGACAAAGGCTTCTTCTCCACTATCATCAACTCTTGTTTTAGACCGACATACTTGATGTTAATTTGATGAACGTATCCGAATATCCGTTTTCACTTAGAATATCACGGATACATAGTAGCTCTTTTTTCATACACACTCCTTGAAAGAAATCAATCTTACTATAAATACCAAGTACCTGATTATATTAAGTTTGTACTTCATCGGTATGAAGCTGAAGAAGTGCGTATACTGTATCTTAGACGTTGGTTTTCTGTATGTACTTCTCAGTATAAAGCCATTTTCTTTTCTTCTCATTAGTACTTCAACAAAACATATCGAATTATTGATTTCTTTTTCGTGTATAATGAATTGAAAGAAAAGATGTAAACGAACCAGTGGTGAACAGTGGGTCAGAGTTGGATCCTTTTAGTTAAATGAATTTAATAAAATTTCTCCCACTGATACTCAACAACTTCATCAAACAAACCACATAGAACTTGACTAAAACTGAATATCACACAAAGTTTCATAGTTTCCTAAACTGAATTAGATGTATCTTAGAATATAACGTATAAACTTATTAATAATGAAAGCAAAATGAAACGTACCATCTTTATCTTTCAGATTAGTAGAGGCTCCATGATTCATTAGGGTTTCAGTAATCTTATTGTCCCCTTTTAAACAAGCAAGCATAAGAGCCGATCTAAAATCAAGGAGACAATATGAAGTTAATTAACTTAAATGATGGAAATCAAATGATCAACTTCTCGAGATAATATTGTTCACTATTAAATGAATGTAGTAATCTTCACCTCAAAGATTCGACGTCTAAATAAACATTCCTAAGGTTTATTCTTTCAAGTTTTACAACGGAAACCACAGACCTTTAATGAACACTGGACATTTCTAGTTGTTCTAAACGTATTCATCCCTTATTGAATCCAACAGGATTTAAGCCGTAAGGTCTATGTGTATATATCAAAAAAACAATATGGCACCAAACCATGAAATGAATGAACATTGCTCCAAGTTATACACGGAAGCATAATTGGGTGGACAGGTTACTGAGTACTTTAGTAAACATATCTATCCTGCTGGCAAATGAAAATCTATACTGTTTGGTGCTCTAAATTTTGAACATTATACAGCTCAAGCTTTTCTTTATAGTTTTTCGTCATTCTTTTGATGATATTTAGTTTTTTCCTAATCAATTTGTACATATTATAATTTTCTATGCAATCTATGGATATCTCTGATAAGTTTCACTTCTTCAGATGAGCCACAGTTGATCATTATTTCATCACTCTACAATAAATGAAGAGAGATATATTTACAAAAGGGATCACTATTGATTTTATTAGTCAGTGTTCTAAGCATGAACATATATTTTATCCAGTTGTAATGATTAAACTTTCGACATTTATCACTGGAGACAACTAATAACACACATTCTCTTGCATAATAAGTTCATATAATATTTATTGATTCTTAGAGAGATTGTTGGTGTCCAAAGTTTGTCCTCATAATGCAGGTTTGTTCCTTGGAAACTCATCATCAAAAGTCATAACACGATTGCATTTCTGATGAATTCATGCCTCATCATTACAACAAGCTTCAAGATAGTACTCATTAGACACATCTCCAGCTTGATTCTTTTTGATGATATAGTAGAGTAAAATTATTGTTAATACATCAAGTGTCTTTCTGACTACTGACTTATATTGCAGGAAGTAATTTACCTTCCACAATTGTCTACACAGTCGACGTCAGCACCGTTCTTTAAAAGAAAGTTAACCATTTCCACATCTTGCTTTTCTACTGCTAGGTGGAGGCTTGTCATTCCATCCTGAAAAGTAAATTTAGAAAGGTCAATTTAACCAATGATAAACATGATATCTTCCTCGATAGTAACTATATACCAATTTGTTTATATGAACTTATACATGACTGGCATTTGTAATCCTAACAGAAAATTTTATAGCCTAAACATCATCAAAATTCAAAGGAAATTTATCAGCTGGAATGAGTAGAAGTCATCGGTGAAGTGAGAATTTTACAGTCAGCAAGCCTAAAGTATTCGAAAAGGCATGATAAGAAAACACAGTACATTTCTAAATGCGCCGAAAGATGATTTTCTATTAGTGAACACAGTTTGACTTAGAGCTACACTTTTAACACCCAATAGCATCAGATCTCACTGCATTACTGAACAAAAGTGATAAGATTTTTTAATTAATGTAAAATGACTTTACCCATAGATACAGAGTGGCGCTAGAGCAGATAATATCCTTGGTCTGCATCCAATGGAGTCACCCGTGACTCATGTTATCCAAATTTTGAACTGGTGGAATTTTGTGGTTTCATTTGTATCGATCTCGAGGCCTATATCTCCCAGCATACATCAAACCACCAGTTACATGCTTCCATGAAATGTGACTGAGTGACCCTAAGCCCGTCTCTCACAATGTTTTCAAATATGGGTTAACTTATTCATGATTAAGTATATGTCCATCAAGACACTGAGGTTCTATTTAGTCAAACCTTGCGGCAAACAGCTTGCAAAAGATAGAAAGTAATAACCATTTTTTCCTGGTTAAAAATTTGGTCAAAAGTTGGTTGCAAGAATAAAACTTAAAGTAGGACATAATTCCATACTAAATCTTAACGGGTATAATAGATAGTTGCAAAAATGTTACAAGGCGGATAAGAAGTTAACCTAAATGCGTGTGCTAACGTTAAAAGTTTGATTTGCTTCAGGAGAGAACATGGCATCACAAACGGCATCAAAACGTTCCTGTTTTGAGGTATCTTGCAAAGATAACTCAGTTGCCTGAAATAACTTTAGCACTAAATAGTTTCACTAATGATGAACAAATAAAATCCAACTGATTGAGAGGAAACATAATACCTCTTCTTCCCACACACAATTAAGTTCGGTAGCATAATGTGTTTAAAAAAAGTTATTTGTTAATGTTATCCGACTACTAGTGAAAACATCTGGAGTATTATATAACCTCCTGCCCTCACAATTTCCTGGAAGGAGCCCATCTGTTTGATACTTTATGAAGTTTTCTGGCCGAAATAACTTCCACTATGTAGGCAAGCATTCGCTTACAGATGGAGAGCTAAGAGGAATTGTAGCGACAGTTCATTACTTATTACGTCTAAGTTTTAGAAATTTACTCATTATTAACTGAGAACCAGCACACCAATGAAACAAGCAAAACAATTCAGGATAACACTACCTATCAAAAAATAAACATACGAAGTGAGCTTTAAGTACGGAATACACTACTGGTCAAAAACGGATTTAGTTCCACTGGCTTCACAAATTAATGAAGCAGTATGTCAGCATTTACATTAATTGACCTTTGAAATACGACTAATCTAATGTTATCTATTTCTAGAAGCCGATTGAGTTCCATCAATCATCTTGCAATGTAGTCGCCAAAAAGGGATTTTGATTGATCCTATATTGAAATACTTTCAAACTAGGTTTCCTGCTTACCAGCACTCGTCAGCATGGAGTATCTGCAATATTGAGAGAAATCACGTCTTGAAGCTGAGTTCGGAGTCGATCTATGGTAATGCAGATCTGAAGATCTGACATTTAGGACAGACGGGGTGATGGAAAGCAAACAAGCACAAAATTTGGGTTCAAAGCTTACTTTAAACCACAATAACACTAGCACTTCTTTATTAAAATTAGTCGCGCAACCTAAGTTCACTCTTAGATTAATCAGAGCAATCTCAACCGCAAGCCAGAATTAAATATATACAACACATTCAAAATAGCTTTAGAAAAAGTGGGAATCCATAATCTAATGAAAAATAATGAAATGTTTGGTCGCTAAGTAAAACAAATGATATTATGTTGATAAAAGTTTATGAAAGCAGCAAACAGCGGTCTACTGGGAATAACCATCAGTCACAATGATTGAGCAGGAACTACAACAGACTTATGTTCTAGATGACGACTTTATTCACCTATTTTAACCTCAACCGATACTAACAAGACTGGACAAGAACCGTAAGTGAGTAAAACTCTTCAAAGACATAAGTTTATGTGGATGTATATAGAAAAATAGGGAGCATTTTCACCTGGTTGTGAGTATTGATACAAACACCAGCTTTTATCAGAAGTGAAACGATTTCCGCAGAAGAACTGTTTACAGCATGATGTATCGTTGCATTTCCATTTGCGTCCTCCAAGGTAAGATCAGCCTTGTAGTCCATTAGCAATGTAATACACTTGACAAATCCACCTTGAACTGCTTTCATGATTGGTGTTTGAAAGTTTTTGTCAACTACATTGACCTTTGCATTAAATTCTAGTAACTCGCGAACAATATCTTCATTTCCCTTACAGCAAGCATAATGAAGGGGGGTCCTAAAGAATGAATTCACAAATTTTTACACTATTTACCTATTTTCCTTATCAGAAGTCATTGGCTCTCTTCTCACCAGGTTACGAACCTTTTTTAAATCTTCTTTCCAGACTGCTTTGTGTAATTTTGGTAAGTCTTTCTCATCCACTAAGTAGTTTTGGACAGATTTTATATTCCCATCAGTTACATTCTTCAAGCTTTCATAGCTTCCTAAAGGTGTATTTTGACTGCTTTCTCTTGATGACTTTCCTTTCTGCAGCCTGTTAAAAAACTTTCGCATTATTCTCTTTCAAAAAAGCACGGTTTTCTTATCTACCAACCTGCGTCAAGGTAGATCAAAAACCGACAATGTTAAACAAATGTTTTAGTATCATCAGGTAATCAACGTCAATCGTGCAAGTACGGTAGATTGTCAGTCTTCAGTTAACACAGTTAATATCTATTTCAATATTTTTCAAACTAGTGCAGGAAGTTGATAGGTTACAGATATTTGCATTCACTTCTTAAGGCTAAGTTCTTATTCCCTTTCGCTCATTTAGTAGTTATGAAAGCCTTTTGTGATCACAAACATTTAACTTTTGAAGCTTTAAGTCCTTCGGACTCACTTCTGCTTGAAGTCTGTTGGGTATAAACAGACGTTACGGAGCTCCTGGGAAGATCGATGGTTTTTGTCTGAATGGAGGCCTAACTTTCCAGAAGTTATTGTAGAAAAATAAGGACCGTAATGCAAACAGAATCTGATTGTATCTAAAAAATAATGATGATATTTACATTTCAAATATATAATTGTCATCGAAAATTCAAGATCACAACTTAATTCTTTGCTGTATCATGATTAGCTAGCAAGCGCTATGGGATGCAACGTATATCATTAATCGTAATAATAGCACTTATTCCCGAATATAGATACCTGCAAAATGTCTGTCTACACTATTGCCCACACACTGTGACGTACCTTTTGAGACATCCGTCCCACAAGCACTGTTATTTCTACAACACTTAAAGACTCAAATCTCACCAACAGTTAGGATTCCGACGGTTAGTACTAGGTGATGGTTGTCAGATACGTCATACTTCAATCCAAACTCGTGAAAAACGCACGAATAACGGCAGCAGAAGGCAAAGTGTACTAGGTCGGCAACGATGGCCTTAATGTCAGTGATTATAGATGATTGTTACAGCATTGTTACAGCAGCCCGTAGCTCCCTAATCACTCTACAAATTACAACCTACTGACCCACAAAACATCCACCTCACCGAAGCTACGAGCAAGAAAGCAGAGGGGATTTCCTCGTCCACTGCAGGAGTAAACCGAACAACTGGAACCAAGCCCTAAGAACTAGACGCGAGAGACCAAAAACTACTAGTTTTCTACGCTCGCACTATCAATATTGGATATATTGGATATTGGATTAACTAGTAACGGAAAGACAACAATGCAGTCGGTTGGGCAGTATATGAATGGAATACAGGAAAATATGATTGGCAGAAACCCATCATCAGGGAAACTCACCATGCTTGTCCTTCGACTGTCTACTGGAGAAGTCTGGTGCTCTATTCGATTCTTGCAGACGGAGTTTAGATCCCATTTTTGGGTAATATTCTCGTCGATTCTCAGGTATTTAACAGTTTTATTTAGTCAAGTATTTCTCGGTGTATAGTACGTACTCCGTGCCAGATAGCTCTTTGGACTGCACGGTTGCACGGCAGCATTGTTGAGGCACTTTTGCGATTTTGACATAACCTCTTATTGTTAAATGGTAAGACAAGTTTATCGCAGATTTATCACGTTCAGCCGTCTTTTAATTTTGTTGAAATATCTTTGACTATGAGTGGCTCGATGTAGTCTGTGAAACTATACAGGAGGACGCTGTAACTTGTCTGGATCACAGTAACTTGGTTCCGCTTGATTATTTCCCCGGAAATGATTAAAATCCTCGCAGTACTTGTAATATTTTGCGGATGATTTAAGGGATCTTCGTCTCAAATCAGTGGGAAGACTACGGCTAACATGTTCTCACGAAGTGTTTACTTAAATGCTTTCTGTGTTTTTTTTCGTGGGTCTGGTTTCTCAGAAGGTAGCGACAGCTGTCCTCAAACAAGTCACATTGGTGAAATGATACGCCGGGGTTCTCGATGAATGTCAGGGGTCTGCAAAAGCGATTTCGGTGGTGCGATGACATTTGCCCAGATGCGTTGAGAAAACGTCCCGATATTCTATTTAACCTGCTACGTAACATTTTTCAGCGCACATTAGGTAAACAAAAGCTAACAGAAGTGGTGGCGTGGTATCTTCTCCCCTCTCCTCAAGGGAGGACCCGGCGGGAACCCATAGTGTTACCAACCTGTAGCACTACTACCGGGGCTATCAAAAGTGATAGAAAATAGTCAGGAATATCGGGCAACACGTCAACAAGAGGGAGCACACAATGATGCCCGGCGTAGCTTCCGAAGTGTAGGTCCCGCATCTCAAACCTCCTGGCAACTTGTGACAATCGAACTGAGAGCTGGAGCTTCCAGAACCCTGTTCATATGAATTTTCCCATATGTGACTCCGACGTGCAAAATAGCATCGTTGGGTGTCGGCGGTCAAATACTACTCTGGCTGGAGCAATATTCGGACGGAAGGAAGTCCTGAACAGAAGTAAACTAGACTTGTCCGGCTTAGATGGCACCTTCGTCTGGGTTGTTTCAAGGACATCTGAAAAGGAGGAAAATGCAGCACAAGGTGACCACAGAACCAGCGAATGGTGAGTGAAAAACAACGGACTGAAACTTGACCTGAATGAATGCGAGACTGTGCTTTTTCATATTCCTGACCCACAGAAAGTGTCCTATCACATCTATAGGGCGACCACATAGGAAGACCTGAGACTAGTGTTAACCGACAAACCAGACACCAGTTCCAAGTGCCCAGGGGATGCCTGTAGATCCACGCAGTACCACACGTGGTGAGCAGACAGCCAGGTGCCCTCAACCTGGATCCCCTTCCTAAGCTCGACGTAGCCCATATACTACCTCATTTAGAGGTTCGCAACGTCACTACACCAGCATACCAGAAAAGAGATACGAACATCCCGGAGATAATAATAATGATATATATTTCATACAACAAAGGTTACATGAATACAAACCAGTTTACAGGTTTGATTATTTTGGCAATGCGAAATCCCTGCTATATACAATGTTTGGCTATACATTGGATACCGTTATTTATAGCATATAAGAGGCGTGTTGAAGCAGGCTGAGTTCGAATTTGAGGATTATTAGGTTATCGTTTGAATTTTCCAATCTTCTTGAAGGTGAGGCCGCATCACAGTCACGACTTTGAGGTGTGCACGTTCGTCATAAGATTTTGATTGTAAGGTGCGCACTGACAAATGCGATATCTGGGATCCCGTTTGAATGCAGGACTGGTTAGGTGAACCTGAAAAGTGAATAACAAAAGCGAGCGGCAGGCAAAATCCGAAACAGAAGCACAAAAGTACGCATGAGTAGATCAACCATGATACGTTTGGGTGAGTTCTTTGTGCTGACTGTAACACTTTCGGCAAGAAGTATCCAGAACCAACTGCTTAGAGGTAGGCCTGGGTGGAAAAGACGAAGGTGCGCACGACGTTAATGAAAATCAGTCTGAAGCCGAAGATATCACCAAGAAATACAGAGATTGGGGAATTTTGCACCGGGTACTCACTTGTTATACAAGCGTTTGATGAAGTTATAAACATTTAAGTGAAACTCATGGTTTTTTCTAAGACGGTAACCACCCTTTATCTGGTCACGGAGGGGGGGGATGATCATGGTGTTGCCTGTTGAGCATTACCATATCGGAGCTACTGAAACAAAATGTTGGTGCAGAGTACTTACATGTAAGTACTGATAACAAAGGGCAAATAATAAAGTGTTGCATGCTATGAAAATGCACCGACAGACAGTTCTTTTATCCTTTTGGAGTAGAGAGATTATTTCAAGGGAAGAATTTTAGGAAATAGGTGTTGAGTCGTGAGACCAGTTAGGTTATGAAGAAACGTAGGTTATATTAGAGTAGCTAATGAGTTCACTGTTGCACATCGTATTGCACTCCGCTTCCTGTTCACTCTTGGTCATCTTCTTTTTAAAGAAATCAGATTTTAACCATTGCGTTTAGTTTTCGGCATCGTATACTTTTGTCATTGCTGTTAGTCCCCTTGAGTCTAGGTACCAGTAGCACCATTGTACATGGTATTACCGTTTGTGTTTTTGCCGTCAACGAATTCATGAGATTCGTTAGATAGGAGGAATTTTCTAAATAATCGTTGAAACTGGCCGAGAGAACGACATGCTCGTATAGGAGCGGGAAGTTTGTTCCACAGCATACTGTATTGCGTTATGAAAAACCTACATCGAAGTTTTGAGCGATACTTATTTATTGGGATGATGTTCTCGCTATTACGCAGATTATATGCCTGTGTTGTTTCAAAAGTGACAGCACATTTCGTTTTAGGGTTTGTAAATAAAAGACGAAAAAGAAGTGTTAAGTTGAGCTTCAGGCGTCTCAGCCAGAGTGATTCTAGTCCTAGTTTTTTGCATCTTGCTTCGTAAGGAAGTCCTTCGTTATGTATTAGTAGGCGCCGAGTAAAGTTCCGTTGAATGTTCTCTACTCGAATTCTGTCCGACACATTCATGCTACCATAGATAACGGTGCAGTACTCTAATATTGGGCGAACCATAGCCTTGTACAGTATAAGTTTTGCCTCAGGTGTGAGTGTGTTTCTGTGTAGAAGACCGATGAGTCTTCTGCCCTTGGAAACTACTGAGTCTGCATACTCCGTAAAAGTCAAACTTCTGGAGTAAGTGATTCCGAGGTCTTTCACAGTGTTGTATACCTGCAGTGCAATATCACCCAAGTGTAGTGTTACTTTTGGGTGGGATTTATTGAAATGGAGGATGCCACTTTTATTTGGGTTTAGAGGGAGCTGCCAGGTCTCGCTCCATATGAATATCCTCTTCAGATCTTCTTGTATTTGAGAGAAACCCTGTGTTAGTGCTGCAGGAGAAAAGCTGTAGACTATCTTCAAGTCGTCAGCGAAAAGGTAGGGTATGCCATTTCGGATAACACTGCAGATATCGTTTACATAGATTAGGAAAAGTATCGGTCCTAGCACACTACCCTGGACGACACCACTTTGTATAAGTCTAGGGGTGGAGTAGCAATTACTGAATTTTACTACTTGGAAGCGACCCTCTAAAGATGTTCTGAGCCAGGACAGTAACGGGTCTCGGAAACCATATGATTGCAACTTAGTGACCAGGCGTTTGTGAGGCACCTTATCGAATGCTTGCTTGAAGTCTAAGAAAAGGGTAGTTACAAATAGGCCTTGGTCACGCTTGCTTGTAACGTTGTCTAGATAGTCAAGATAGCTTGTAGTGCATGACCGGCCTTTCAAGAATCCATGTTGTGCTGGTGAGAGTAATTGGTTAGTCGTCATATAGTCGACAACTGCTTTCACAATCACCTTTTCCATAGTCCTGGATACTACTGACGTGATGTTTATAGGTCGGTAGTTTTCTATATTAGATGTTGGTCCACATTTATGCTTAGGACATATGTATGATAGTTTCCAGTTCTCAGGGTAATTGCCACTGGAGAGGGACGTATTAAAGAGCTTCAAGAGAATCAGCGGTATATCTTCGCCACCTCTTTTTAACAAGATGGTTGGAATTCCATCAGGCCCCGCACTGTATGAGGTTCGAAGTGATGCTATAGCTAGAGAAATGTTTTGTTTAGAGAAGAGCACTGTACTTATGGAGTGAGTTGGTGTTGACGGTGCACCAATGACTTTTATTTCGTCCTCTTGTGTAAAGCAGCTAGCAAACTGGTAACCGAACAGCTCGCTGATTTGTAGTGGGCCGTCTAGAGGATGCCGTTGTCCATGATTAAACTAGGGGTACTATTTCTGGAGCTACTTATCCGGGTTTTCATCAGTCTCTGTATTACTAGTTTTACTACATTGGATGCGTTCTTGTTTAACGGCTTCTATTACTCTTTCTGCCTTGAATGTGTCGTATGTGTCTTTGAGTGTGACAAGCGACGAAAAGTCATTCGACTTATAGTACTCTCTGACATGGTTTCGCATGCGGATGCGTACTTTCTTTGGTATATAGTCAGCTCTGTTTTTCTTAATTTCTCTTCGGAGCGGTGGAGCAATTAGTCTTGAGCTGTGCCTATATATTCATAGAATAGATCACAGAGTTCTTTGGCTGAACTGTTGGTAAAGTAGGGGCTCCAATCTAGGCAGCGCAGAAACGATTGTAGTTCGTCCCATTTGGCATACTTGTAATTTCTAGTTAGTACTGTTCCTGACTTTTGGGCCACTTTTGTGCTGGATATATTGAAGTATCCATATACAACCTTGTGATCGCTACCTGGAAGTTGTGTACCCACTTGGAGTTTTGTGGGTGTGGTTCCGTTTGTGAAGACTAGGTCCAGGACACTATTGTACCTGGTAGGGTGTTCCACATGTTGTTGCCAACCCTCTGTTTCAAGAATGCTTATGAATTTATCAAAGCGCTCTGGATAGCTAATTGGTCGCCACTTTATATCTGGCATGTTAAAGTCACCACATATAATTTTCGCTGTGTGTGGTAGTGTTGCCACACGGGCGAACACGCTTGTTAGCTTGTCGTCGTATTCGACTGAGGAGGAAGGGGGCCGGTAAATGCATCCTATTAGGAGGGAAGTGGAGCGAGTAAGTTTGGCGATAATCCATACTGAGTCGTCAATCTCGTTTAGCTCAGATGTAGGGCACTGCGTAGCAGTGATGTCGGACTTTATATAGATAATGCACCCTCCTCCCCTACCATGCAGTCTATCCTTCCTGAACAAGGAATAGTTGTCAATGGAGATCTCTGCGTCACAAATATCATTGGTACACCAAGTTTCTGTAACCATTATCACGGACGGATCACTTATCAGAGATAGCAGCATAATCTCTTTCATTTTGTTGCGTATAGAGCGGGCGTTAATCAGGCAAAACGAGAGTGAGTTAAGAGCACAAAAGTGTTCGGATATATCTCGAAAAAAGTCGGCACTTCTGTACATTTCCTGTGGGTCCTTTGTGCACGTCGCGCTAGCGATGTCATGACCTTTTGTACAGGGCGACTATTCGGTACTGTTTACCTCGGAAGGAGCGAGGTATTCACTACATTGTGATTGGTATAGAGACTGTTGGTCAGGGTAGAGAGCAGATGATCCGACAGCATCCGAATCACCTGCATTACTGGTGGCGTTGCAGCCGTAGGCTGTCCGAAAAAACCCTGTTCATAAGAAGTAACGGGGATTGATAAGTTGTATGGCACACCTATCCGCTGGTTGCCGTATGCATTTTGGTCATAGACAAATTCATATTCCCCAAGATTTTCTTTAGGGGATCTGTTGTAAGTTTGTCCTTGTGTGGCATATGACCCACGTTTTGCGGCGTATGGGTGAGGCGGAAAGCATAGTCTGTGACTACCATTTTGCTCCCTATCCAATAACTGTGATCGTTGAGGGGTCCGGCGTGATGTGTGTCTGCTAGTGACCGCGGAAGTGTTAAGAAGTGTGGATCGCCTGGAGAGTAGTTATTTGACTTGGTCATAGGATGACCTGAGAAATAACGTTTGGCATTTTCCTAGTGTGACTTTGCGAGGGTGCAATGGTCTTTCGGCTATTCGTATCCTTTTTCGTCTATTGGTTTGGCTGCTTAATTGCCTTTTCGGCAGTTTATTTAACCTGGGTAGGTGCATAGTGGGGTTTGTATAAGAGTGTCTAGTGCTATCTGTACTCTTTATCATCTGCCCATTTGATGCATGTAAGTTGTGCACTGGCTGAGGTGGGGTGGATTAGACTGTTTACGCGCTAGGCTTTGGGACGGTCCTATGATAACAGGGTGCTTGTGGCTGGTGCTGGGTATGTTTATAGGCTGAGTGACACCTGGTGACGACATAATAGTGTCTTCAGTAATTTGTTGGGTCGATAGCGTAGCACTTGGTTTGGGGGTGACCTGTGTGGCAGGGAAGGGGGACTGGCTTTCCACTTCTGTAGACAGTGAGACACCTTTAGAGATCGTGTGCCTGTTTTTGAGTGTAGTTCATAGATTTGTCCAAGCCTACCGTCGTGTCATCGGCTCTACTACGTCTGTGTGTGAGTGGGCTAATTTGTGGGCTTTGGTTCCTCATTCCATTGTGTTGGTACAGTAACCAGTTCCCTAATAGATTGTGTTGCTGTTTTTAGTACCAGAGCTTGACCAGAATTTGCGGCTGTTAGTATTTTTGCGCGACTACGTCTCTGACAAAGTGTTAAGTCTTGTGAAAGTTTAATACTTTTACATGGTGTGGATACACTAATAAGCTGCTTCGATGATAAGAAGTGTCTGGTGTGGTAAGAGCCACTAAATTTGAACAACAAGGAGCAGGCACATTTTTCCAGCTTCTTGCGAAGACGAGCAACTTGGCATTCTGCAGAAGGCGTGTTACAAGCCCGCAGACACAAGGCTTTTACTTGTTTCATCGGTCCATGGTCGTGCCCAGGTCGTATGGTAACTCGACAACAGTGTGCAAGACACCAAGGTATCCAAATCATCCGAACGGCAGAACTCTACTGGGTGGTCACTATGGCAACCCTCGAGAAAACTTTAGGAGAATCTCTCATCATTAGAAGAATTTGTATGCATTCATACTTCTTCTCCCTTCAGGTTTTCGGTTGCTGGAAAGTATTACCTATTGAGTTTGGTGCAGATATATGTGTCGATAGTTTCACGAAGAGTTTGGATGGGAACGCAGAGATGCCCATGGGCTGCGCTGATGACGTAAGGATACGAACTAGCTCAGAACAAACAACTGCTTTTGCATTATTTAAAGACAGTCAGCCCTTCGCAAAATCTTTTCCATTGTCGCTTTTATCGTGAACACGATTCAATCTCACGCTACCCTATGAGACTTTTTCCACTCTTGTCACTGTACTACTACTAGTATCGTCATCTCTACTTCCCTTATCGCTACTGTAATCCATCCTCTTTCTTCCGTCAACTATAACTCTCCGTGATTCCAACCTATTCATCAAGGTACCACAATCACTGTTTTCTTTCCCATCTCTGAATTTATATCCATTCCCGCTTTTTTTTCGTTCTTCTGTCCTTTCAACGTCTCTCATTTCGTCTACATAGTTTTTTTGGATATTTTATCGTTCCCCCTATCTTCCCTGAACTACAGGTTCGAGTGAATGTCTAGCAGCGGAGTATTTGGGGAACCGACGTACCGAATTTCCATATACCTCCCCCACAGACTTAACCACCGCCTAAACACCTATGGGTTTACCAGAGGTAGAGCACGCCAGTGAGTGAATCTGTCTCGTCGAAATCCACCAAAGACCTGGTGCCGTTTCGTGAAATGTAGAATCGTCATGAAGGAAATGAGTAGTTTACACAGGCTCCCAAAAAATGTTCAAAATTGAAGCACCCGCAGGATTTTTCGGAGATAAACTTAACAAAGGCTAGGTCTGTGACGTCAAAACTACTAGCCAAAATCCTGAAAACATCAAAAATTGGCGCGATCAAACCAATCACTTTATTCCCACTCTCAAAATAGATATTGGGTATAAACGTTGTTGAGTAACTTCAATTCTGTAGGTCACACGCAAGAAGAAATCACCGCTTTTGGCGGCCACTAGGAATGCCTGTAAGCATGTTTTGTGTCTAACTTTAAATGCACCCCTAACAACTATTGAAAAAATCATTTAAGTTTCTTTATTTCATGGGCAACTACCATTACAGTTGTAATGAAGAAACTCAATTGGCTATTTCAATCGTTGCTATGGTGGTTTTTGAATTTACTGTTTTTTCCGCATTACATAACATTCTCAGCGTTTGTCATAATAAAGTGTTTTCTGATTATCTTATGAATTTGAACTGACTATCAGCTGACTTGCAGGCATCAGTTTTGATCTTCGGGAATGTAAACGCTACAGTGTATATTGTAATACACTGCAAGGTTTACGTTGCATGCAACGTATTTCTGGGATTAACTTGATAATCCTATCATTTTCCACTGCATTTAAAACGCTCCGGAAGGAAGATATGGTTCTACTCATCAGTGTTTTTCGAAAACCGTATAAGATTAAAAGTTGGATAATTTCTCTCTGATCTTACCACCAAATTCTTGCAATAGGTTTTCAGTTAGAACTAATACCATCCATTTAAATGTAGTGTCTCCTGAGATTAAATGTCTGATTCATGGAGTTGGTGTAAGCAATTTTTCCTCTGCATATTGGACAGCACTTATGTGCTACAGTCTTGCATAATACGTGCAAGTTGTTTTTTTTGGTGTTCTACAAGCAAGCAGAGTAAAAGCGTCAATTGATTCTGGAGTCCTACTCTGGTTTCCAGAGGCCAGATAGTACCCTGACAAGTAATGGCCTTAGTTCCGGAATTCTTTGTCTTTAATTGCCTGTAATACTCCTACTTCCTAGTTGGGTTCGTTAAACTATAAATCATCTGTGTGTATCATCAGCACGTTAGGAAATACTTGTTTTTACTTGCTTGGTTTCAAACCCTGTCTTCATTCGCTTAGGATAGACCTATGTTTTTCCCAACTTTTAAGCTTGCAGCTACACTAAGTGTGTAGAATTTAATGTTCTTACATTTTACCTTGTATGTTGGTATTTTCCGCTACTCATTTCAGAATAACTGCAAAAGCTTAGGAGTCATAAAGCTTTTGTAATGTCGTTCGCTGAAGTGGTGAAGCAGTTTTTCTCATACTTCTAATGACTAAATGGTTTTTTAACTTATGGGACTTTTTTGATACATCTAGCAGCTCATGCAGACATGGAGATTCATGAGTGCATGCTAGAAGTAGTAATAAAAGACACCTATAGGCGGATTTTTAATTGAGGCTATTAATATCAGACTAGCAGAGAAGTATAGTAAATGTCTTTCGGTCTACAATAAATGTGCATTAGTAAACACAGCTGTTGGCACTAATTAGCTAAACTGTTAAAACAAATTCGTTTCCTTTTACATTCATTGCGAAATAAAAATACCAAATGTATATTCGTAACTGTTCTTACTTACTGAATCACATCTACTTCCAGAGAAATGGTGTAGCTTGCTTACTGGGATTGAATTGTGGGGAATGAACTTGGTCATACTACTTAATAGTCAAATTAAGCGCCATAATCACTTCAAAATATTATTACCAAGGCCTTCATTAACTTTACTGTTGTCGCTAGGTTAATACTTATGCAGAGCTTATAAATCTCCTTTATTAACCCTCATGACTGCTGAAGTAATACTGCTGTCATTTTTACTTAGTACTGTGGCATCATAACCAGATACAGTTTCATCCTCACTTCCTTAAGGCCGGAATATTTTGTCGCTTCACTATTTGTAGACGGATGTTCTATCTTGATGTCATCCATCTTAGTGCTCGTATTCTTTCTCCGCGAAGCTAATCTTTACCACATTACATTTTGCAAGTGCTCAAACGAACACCTATTATTAGTTAGCATCAACGTCATAAATAAGAGAAATCACATGACTTAGATTTTGTCAACCTCAATCTGACCGTTAAGGTACGTGGATGTTCTCAAGAGTAGGATTTCATTTTCAAGCGTGTACAAGTTTAAGTTCAAGTGTTTGAAACCCTATAGGAGTGGAGAAGTAAAACTAAGCTCAGTTTGTGAATGAAAATCTCAGGAGTATATTCAGAGAGAACCTGAATAGGAATCAGAATTTGACTAACTGACTGACTGACAAAAGCAACGTAGAACCTCACCCAAGTGCATCATTTCGGGTTGCCACACTTCACAGTAGTACACAAAAAACAGGAGGATAGAAAAAGACTGATATGAAAGTAGATAAAGTAGTGTAAAAGAATAAACAATTGGAAGGCTATTATCTTCGATTTACTATAAAAGAAGTTAATATGGTAACTCTCAACAAGAAGATTGAGAACTACTACAATAAATCAATAGATATATCATGACATCTCATCTAACCGTGAATACAATAAAGAGCAGAATGGCGTAAATGTAAACTGACGAGGAAACTGCTGAGTTATGATGAATTCCACTAGATGCACCGAAACTACCTGTGTGCAAGGTTCTACGTTGATTTTGTGTCCATCAGGTAATACATACTTCTGACTAACGAGTGGCTATGACGAACCTGAATGGATACAAAACAGCTCTTAGAAGTATTTATTGACAGTCAGCCGAAATGATGGGAGACATTAATGGAGGGATTAGTTAGTGTGGATCCTGCATCTTTCTTTGACTGATCTCCATCAGTCTCACCGCAGATAGAGTAAAATCCTCTGCAGTAACCAGTGAAAAGTTAGTCTACCTTACGTTTAAGGTTGTAGCATTCGAAGTTATCCAACGACTAATATGAGCTTAGTTTCAAGTCTGAAGGGACGAAGTAGATGTCAGGTTAATTGCGAGAAGATAGATCAGCGTGAAACAGTCAATCAGAACTAAGGCGGGACTTGGCTTGTTTCCACATATTTCTCATAAATTTAACTTTGATTAAAGTTTACTGACATAAATGTTATTTAATTGAAGTTTGAAACTTTATTTTTCCTACATGCCATCAGAATTTACTGGGAATTATGTTAGTGGATTCAGTGTTCAATCGAAGTTGAGCTGGGATTTTGTGAATATTTACTGTTTGGAGTGGTTTATAGATGTGCTGTGTGTGCCATGTCATCACCTACCTCAAAATAGCACATCGACTGGACCCCCCCATCGACTTTTTTTATTGGGCTGGGACTCATAGGTGTAGGTATTTGCCATTCAACCAGTGGGTCACGGGTACGAATCCCTCTCCATCTACCGAGTTATAGTCAACCAGGTGGTAATGTCAGCCTTCATAGCAAGTATGGCTCGTTGACTGCTGGAAAAACATGCAAGTGGGTGCTAAGTGCATCCCAGTTTTTTTTTACTTACTGTCTATTTCACCATTAGTTTCATGACCGATTGAAGTCACCCTATTTTTTTAGTTTGGTGTTGGTTAACTGAGCGATTAAAAAGTCGTTGGTTCTTGCTACCTGTCTTAATGATTAGTCCTGGAAGCCACTTGATGCATCTGGTTATCCTATTACAATAGCTTAATTTTAATCCACAAAAATTCGGTTGTACGAAAGCTTGTAGTAACCAGATGAAGGCACTGCACCAATCCGTGAATTGCATAACTATCGGTCTTAGTCATGTAGGGATGTGACTGGAAGTCCTTGACATTACAGGAATCAGTGACTAGAGAGAATCTTGGGGAAACTTCACAAAATCAATCAATATAGTTCAGATATATACACTATCTCCACAATCTTAAACAATTTCACTGATATTTATTTGCTTATTCCACTTTCGTCTCATCCTGTTTTGCTTAATTCACTGTCATTTTCTCTCTTCCTTCTTGTTCTTTATGTGGTGTTGCGAAGCATGGCAACTGAAAGTGATATACTTTTGTCCCGCGTTCTGTGTTAATTTTTCTGCCTCTATCCCTCTTGTTGTCATTCTAGTTGCCTAGATGTCAAAGTAACTGGATAAGCTATTTTTCTTTCTAATATATATGCGGTAAGATACTGCAGAAAACGAACATAAAGTTAAAAAGCTCAAAAATCTCCTTCCCTGTGTTATCTCATTACCTGTAAGTAAAGATGTATTTAAATAACGTGCAGTAAGTATTCTGTCAGTTAACTGAAAGGTATCTATGCTTGACAGCAGACAAGTTGCACAATCAGATTACTGTATCACATAGTCTTTCCAAAGGTAGGTAAGCAGTTCCTCATGTATGATACAGCTAATTTACTTCACGAGTAGAAGACCAGATTAGGTGGCTACTATTATGAGTGGTGAAAAATTCCTTATTCTTTCAGTCGAATCATAATGAAGCAGAAAACTCTTTTTTTTGAAAGAAAAAAACACTAGGTTATTGTTCACTGTGGAGTGTCATAACAGTTTATAAAATATAAGGTTGATAATGCAAAAGTCTTTTATTACGATTTTACATTAAAGTAGATTTAATTCAACTTCAGTTATTACCATCCTTAAAATTAAGTGTCATAGAGAACATCTACCATTATCAACTTTTTCATACACTGAAATGTATACTTTTTGTCTGCTAAATAATTTCTTTAAAGTTTATATATACCACATGATCTCAAAAAGGCATGAGTTAAAAAATTCTATGCAAATGAGCTTCTCATGCACATTAATAGTTGCTAGAATTTCTAAGAAAAGATGTAGGTTAACGATTTTTTTCAAGATAAAAAGCACATACTTCACTTGTTGAAATACGTTAATAAATTAAACTATTTATGCTTATCATAAAGATAGAAGTCAATCAATTAATTTGATTTCTGTACTTTGGAAAGTGAGAATGATATTTCTGTTGTTTTGTGTAAAAACTTAATTTGTCAATTAATGCCAATTTTCTTCCCTAAAACCTACTAGTTGACTGGTATTGATTTTTGAACTAAAGTATACATTGATATCCATTGATTGTTTCGTAGGATAAACCGTATGATTATTGAAGCTTTGAGGTTGTATGTTTGTATACATTTGATCTTAATCATAGTAGAAACTTGTCTTTGATCCCAGGACTTACTGTACCGTTATATATACTGAACTCTATCGAATTCTTATTCCAAAGTTGATTTTACTTATGCATGTACTCTACCAT